TTCAGTGCCAGAACTGGCAGCCAGTGGTAGCGGGAGGCTCTCGGTGGGCGCTGTGCTGGGCAGGCAGCCCAGAGCCCTCCTGGCAGGCACCGTGCTGCCAAGCACACCTGCCTGCACTCACCTGCCCACACTCACCTGCCCAGTTCATTGTCACAGGGGCAGAGCAGGGTCCCAGAGACCCACAGGAGCCGTGCTGCCGCCTGCTCAGGCTCAGTGACCAGGCTGGACCCCTGCCCCGCTGCCCCAGACAGCAGCAGCCAAGTGAATTGGAGGGAGCTGCAGGCAGCTGCCTGCCATTCCCACTGCCTTGTGTAGCTGCCAGACCTGGACACTGCTATGGGATGATGGGGGCAGGTCAGACCCCGCACCAGCCACACACCTGGGCAGCGAGCGGGTGTTGGGGGAAGAAGGGGTTAAGCTGAGCCAGTGCAGGCAGAAATCAGAGGATTACAGGTTTGTTGCTGGACTGTCCCATCTGTCACCAGCACAAAGACAAGCCCTGTCTCAGGGTGGGCTGTCAGCGAAGAGCCCACCACTACATTAGGACTCCATTAGGGGAGACTGGCGGTGGGAAATGGCAGCTGTCAGGGCACTATCATTTCTCCTGTAATTCCTCCCGTTCCTTTCTCAACTGCACTTAAATAGCAGGTCTACCCACTGGGCCAATTTTGCATTTTCTTCCTCCTGCTGCTCCTCTTCTTTCTTTAAAGCTGCAGCTCGCTGGGCCCCTTCCCTGAAGCCTGCCAGTGCCAGTGCTGCCTGTGCCTGCCTGTGGCATCTCCACAGGGAGAAGGGCTCTGGAGTGTTGGCAACACCTTGGTCATGGAGCCACAGTGATGCCAACCTGGTCTGCAATGGCACCACTGGGCTCTGTCATGGGACTCGCTGGCTCCTGACCTTGGCACAGGGAAGGGGGAGGTGGATCCCAACCTCCAAGGACAGGCAGTGTCCTTCTCATGTCCCATCGACTGGGACTATCTCTGAGCTGGTGAATGTTTCCTGGTCTGCCCTAAAGCCAGGCTGCCTGTGCAGGGCTGGCCTTGCTCTGTGAAGTGGGGTGGGCAGGACAGCAGTTGGTTAATGGGGCTGGGGACTGTGTCCAGTGGCTGTGGGCTGTGCTGGAGCAGGGTTTCTTCCTCCAGCCACCAAATCTGCCCAACCTTGCAGCATTTGGCAGAGGCTCCTGGGTAGCACTTCCTGGTACTGTCATGGCCACCTTGGGGTGGGATGCTCCCCTGGCTCCACATAGTCTCAGATCTGACCTAGAGGTAAAACTACGGACAACCAGGTTTCCTGATGGGACAAGATCACCTGGAAACTCTCAGGACCTGCAGAGAGCATCAGCTCGAGGAGCAGCCTCAGGGAAGCAGCTCAGCATGGTGGGAGTATCCATGCTCACAGCTTTCCCAGGAACCCCTGGGTCTTCCCCCACCCTGCCCTACCCTCACCGAGCCTCCCACCGGACTCAGCGCTGCCGCCGCACCAGCACTCCCTGTGGAGCCTCCTTTTCCAGCAGGAGATCAAAACAAACACTTGTGTGGGGAAGTGCATTGCAGTGGTGCTCGAAATAAATAACTAATTTCTGCCTACATGATCTCAAGGAGCAGGAGAGGCGTGAATAGCAGGGCCCGGTGTCGGGCTGACTGGACTCCCCGGTGCGGTAATTCAGAGGATGACAAACATAAGCCAAAGAAAAATGTTGAAAAATGGGCACTTCCCGCAGCCCTGAGCAAAGGAGCTATTGCAGGGTTTGGAAATAACGAAGGCAAAAAGAGGGAGAGAGGGGAATTTTCTCATTGAGACCAACTGAAGTGCCAAACAAGCTGCTATTATGGTGGCTTTGAGAGGCACAGGGAGGGGGTGATGGGGAGGAGAGCAGGGGGAAGGAGAGGAGGAAGGTGGGGGAGAAGAGAGGGAGAGAGGGCTGGAGGAAGGGAGAAGAGTGGGGGATGTGGGGATGAAAGAGATGTGAGCAGCCAAAGGTGGGAGGTGACACGAGGGAGACGGAGAGAGGACTAAGTTGTGTGATGGTGGCAAAGCCATCACATGCCAGTGCCCCATCCCTCGCCCCAGGTCCCCTACATCTCCCTATCCATACCTCATCTCACTCCCAGCCACCTTCTACCCCCTGCAACCACCACCACCAAGAGGGAGAAAAAAGAAAAAAAGAAAAAAAAAAGATGGAAAGAAGGAAAACAAAATATCTACAGTTGTCGAGACAAGAGGAGAAAAATAGAGGCAAACATCCATAATTTTCTCTGTGGGGCTTTGCAGTAATTGAGCCATTTGGATAAAAATAAAGGCAGCAGGCCCTTTAGGTAAGAGGAGCTTTTGCAATCCAAGAAGCCTGAATTATGCGTCTTGTATCACTTGAAACCCCCCACCACATCACCCCCCTCCGCCTCCCCCGTGCGACACCAAACCACTTTCCCTTTTCTTCTTCTTCCCCTTGGTTTTTTTTTCTCCCTCCTTTTTTAAGTACCCTGTCAAACGGCGTCCGAGGAGTGGAGAATTTCAGCTGTCACAACTAATTTCAGCGCGTGTGTGTGTGAAGGTGTGTGCGTGTCTTGGGCCGGGGGGGGAGGCGGGTGATGGAGGCGTAGAATCGCTCCTTGCTTGCTTTCCCCCCCTCCCCCTGTTTTTTTATTCCTCAAAAGGAAGATTTACATCAGAAATTTGTTTCTAGAAGTGTTTAAGGCCTGTAATTTCCTTCTTTTCGACTGCTGCCTGATGTCTTCTCCTCGCAGGCTCCCTCCCAGCCATCCCTGCCCGTCCAGCACCGGGGCTGGTTGTCACCCTCCCAGCAGCCTCTATCCTAGTCCTGCCTGGCATTGAGTTTCCCCCATCTCTTTCTAGGGCTTGAGGCTGCCAAAATTCAGCTCTGGGTCTGGCAGGGAATGTTCCAGCTCCTCCCTGCCAGGAGAAGCACTGGGGGCTTTAGGATTCAGGCTTGGTCACCTCTGCAGCCACTTTGAGGTTGGCATTAGCCAGAGAGTCATGGGGTGAATCCTGCTGAGAACGGGGCACCCCTGAGAGCTGAGTGGGGCTGTCAGGGTGATCCCTCCACCCAGGACCTGCTTGGGTGAAAGGGGTAGCTGGGGAGAGGCTGGTGCTGAACATGTTGGGTCTTCCCAGCCGGGGTTAGGAAGGGAAAAAGTCCCTGAATCCAGCAAAGTCTTTGTGCTTTCTTTTTGCAAGAGAGGAAGAAGCAAAGCTGGAGGCATGGCTGGAGAAGGTGCCTCTGCCATGGCTGGAAGATGCTGGAATGGCTGAGGTGATACAGGTCCTTTTAGGCCGGACTGGATGGAGCTCTGAGCAACCTGGTCCAGTGAAAGGTGTCCCTGCCCGAGGCAGAGAGGTTGAATCAGGGTTGGAATAAGATCTTTGAGGTCCCTCCCAACCCAAACCAGTCTGTGATTCTATGATTCTATGGTTAAAATCCTTCCCCCATGGTCTCTGTCCCTTTCTCCTAAAGTAAATGGACTTTTTGCTTAAGAAAATGATCCCAACATCAGAAAGGAGGAAAGGCTGGAGATCAGCCAGTGCAACGGAGGTGACTGGCAGCAGACTGTGCATCCCAGTGAAGAAGCACGTTCCCTGCTCTTGGAAAGCCACCAGATAATTCCATCAGCCTCAGCAATTCCTGCCTACTTGTGTAGGCACAAATGAGATGCATGAAACTGGAAAGAACAAGAACCAGCTGAGGAGGAAGCAGCGCTATGTGGGACATCACTTGGGTTTTGAATTTCATATTGAGGGCTTTGGGAAATGGGGTCTGGGATCAGGGAACCTTGGACTATTCCAGGTTCAGTGTGTAAACCAGACCAGGAGCTGGTTGCAGACTGGAATCGGGGAGGTATCATTCAAGGAGGACATCTCCAAAAAGCAGCAGGAAGGGCTGCACAGGGTCCTGCTCAAGGAACAAGTTTTGCATGTTTTTTGCATTAATCCTGGACTAACTGGTCCTTGCATCATCCTGGAGTCTCCTGCTGCTCTGCTGCAGTGGGAGGGATATGACTGGGTGCTGAACCAGACCTGGGGGCTCCATGGGGATGCGTGGGCACCTCTGGGAGCTCCAGTGCTTGGCAGAGCTCCCCGGAGCACACGGACACTCCATGTCCAGGAGCTTTGTGAAAAGTGTCACCAATACCACGGCAGTGCCCAACCACAGCCCTGTGGGTCAGGAACACAGTCCTCAAACATATGGGCCAAGCCAGGCAGGGAACAGACGCTGTGGGTGATGTGTTTCCATGGAGGGGTTAAAAGGTGGCTCTGGTGGGGCACCTCTGCAACACCACAGCCGGGATGGAAGGGGTGGTACAGCCTGGCATGGGATGGCACAGGCACGGAGGGACAGGATGGCACAGGCAGGACAGGGTTGTAAGAGCAGGTGGAGGAATGGGATAGAACAGGCAGGAATGGGTTGGAACAGGCAGGGATGGGATGTTACAGGCAGGGATGGGGTGGAAGGGGCAGGGATGGGATGGAAGGGACAGGTACAGGATGGAACGGGCAGGAATGGGACGGCAGTAATAGGGATGGGATGGAACGGGCAGCGATGAGATGGAACGGGCAGAAATGGGATATTACAAGTAGGGACGGGATGGAACAGGCAGGAATGGGTTGGAACAGGCAGGAATGGGTTGGAGCAGGCAAGGGCGGGATGTTACAGGCAGGGATGGGATGGGATGGACAGGGGTGGGATGGCACAGACAGAGATGGGATGGAAGGGGCAGGGATGGGATGACAGGAGCAGGGACAAGAGCACGGGTGTTCCCGGCCGTCCCGCCGGGGGTTCCCCAGCTCTCCCCTGAGGGGGGTCCTCTGGGGGGGTCCCGCAGGGGGCGTGCCCTGCGCTGGCCCCGCCCCTCTCCCCCACCCAATCCCCTCCCCGCCTGGTTCCAGCGGCCCCGCCCTTCCCCGCGCGCCCCCTCGACGCCCCGCCCCCTTAGGGCACTTCCGGCGGAAGCGGGGGGCTCCTTCCCTTTCCGGGCGCGGGCCCGGGCGGAGCGGGCGCGGGCCATGGCGGACCTGGCGCAGGGGCAGGGACAGAGCGCGGCCCCCGTGGGCATCAAGCCCGAGGGCTTCGTGGACGCCCTGCACCGCGTCCGGCAGGTGAGGCGCCGGCCGGCGGGCCAGGGGCGCGCGGGAGGGGGAGGTGGCGGCGGCGGGGGCGCCGCTAGGCCGCGGGGCTGAGGAAGGGCCGCGCTGCCCCCTCTGTGCCCCCGGGGATGTGCGGGAGGGGGGCGGCCCGCAGCCGTCTGGCTCTGGGCAGTGGGGGGGATGGCTGGTGTTAATGTGGGTTTTAAGCGGGGCCTTGTGCGGGAGGCTGAACGATGGATCGGCTGGAGAAGGGAACGGAGCGGGGCAAGAGTCCGGAGCACCAGGAGCGGCTGAGGGAGCTGGGGGGGCTCAGCCTGGAGAAAAGGAGACTCGGGAAGACCTTCGGGCTCTCTGCAACTCTCTGACAGGAGGGGGAAGCCGGGGGGGGGTGTCGAGCTCTGCTCCCAGGGAACAGGGGATAGGAGGAGACGACATGGCTTCAGGCTGTGCCAGAGGGGGTTAGGTTGGATATTAGAAGGAATTTCTTCCCAGAAAGGGCGATAAGACATCGGAACAAGCTGCCCACGGAGGTGGTGGAGTCCCCATCACTGGAGGTGTTTAGGAAAAGACTGGACTTGGCACTCAGTGCTCTGCTTTAGTTGATAAGGTGGTGATCAGTCACAGGTTGGAATTGATGATCTCAGAGGTCTTTTCCGAACTGATTTGTTCTGTGATTCTGTGAATACAAACCTTAGCAGTGCAGGAGCTTCACATTCCCTCCAGGGAGGGAGGGAGGTGCTCCCTAGAGGAACCTCCGAGCTTACATGGTGCTAAAATGGAAAGTTTCAGAAGTGCCCAGAGCTTCAGGAACCAGCACCCTTGTCTTCAGCACAGGATATTCCAGGTGTTTGTATGCTCCTTGATTTGTGGGAAGTGCCTCCAGGACAAGGATCTGCTGCTCACAGGGCAGATGTTGTGGTTGTTCATCACATCTGTTCCATGTCTGTCCCAGGTGTTTGTCCCACCTCTGAACAGGTTGTGTTTTACTTGTGTTTAGTGACTGCACCATAAGGAGATGTAACACCAGGACCACAGCCCAGCTGGTGCTCAAAGACCCTGACTTTATTCTCTCCAGGTGGGAGAAATCTCCTTCTGTTGCCCAGACTCCCTGTGATTTCACTGAGAAACCTCTGGAGAAACTAAGCTGGGCCCTGAGACCTCTCAGATGCTCTCTCTGATGGGACTGAAGTGCTTTGCCCTGGCTCTCAGCTCACCTGTGAATCAGTGTGGCAGCCACTCTGTGTTGTAGATCAACACCCTGCACCTTTCCAGGGACACCACGAGCTGCTCTGCTCTTGGGTCTCTGTTTTCTTCCTCAGCACAGGCAGATGGGGTCTGAGCTGCCTCCCTGATGAGGTCATGTGTCACTTCTTTCACTAGCAAAGCCCCCTGGCCTTGATGTCTGAACACCCAGGATTACCTGCCTGATGCAGTTAAATTGAGGGGTGTTGCACTCTGCTTGTCTCGACCTGGATGTCTGTTACTGGAGGCCTCTCGTTGCAAAAACATCTTTTTGAATATCTGGTAATATTACCACCTGCTAGCAGCTGAATAACTCTTTTATGTAAAAGAAAATAATTATTTGCTGGTACATTGCAGCTGGTTGGAGTTATTTTGTGAGCATGTTTCAAGTCCGGAGGAGGGACATGATGTTGATAAGGGGGTTGGAGCACTTCCCCTACAAAGACAGGCTGAGAGAGCTGGGGCTGTTCAGCTTGGAGAAGAGAAGGTTGTGTGGAGACCTCACAGAACCTTCCAGTGTCTGAAGGGGCTACAGGGAAGGTGGAGAGGGGTTCTTCATCAGGAACTGGAGTGACAGGACAAGGGAGAATGGGTATAAATTGAAAGAGGGCAAATCTAGGTTAGATATTGGGAAGTAATTCTTCCCTGTGAGGCCCTGGCACAGGTTGCCCAGAGAAGCTGTGGCTGCCCCATCCCTGGAAGTGTTCAAGGCCAGGTTGGACGGGCCTTGGAGCAACCTGGTGTTGGGCTAAAACACAGCACTAATGGCAAATTGATCCAAATTTGTGTTACCTGGGTGCTGTGGTTGTGTTTGTGGGGTGAATCTGTGAGCCCCCAACAACCCACATGTGAAGGAAATGGAGCAATAAATACTTCTGTGCCCCAGCTGTGGTCACTTACTTGATTTTGTTGTTCTTAAGTTCATTATACTTGCTGTGATTACACTGCTTGTGCTGGGTTTCCACGAGTTGGTTTGAGCTGGAAGATTTCAGCAGCGACCTTCCTGCTGCTTTTTTGCTCTGGAAACGAGTGTGTTGGGAAATGTGGGCTCTGCACGTGTTTGTGGGAGCACAGTGTCCTAAATTTTTGTGCAGTGAGTTGTTTGCTGACTGTTGAACGTGATTTTTTCCATTGCTGTTTGTGGGATGAAAAGAGCTGTTGGAGTGCTAAAATATTCCCCTCTGTCTGTGAAAGTACTTGATTTAATCTAGTTTTGTAGAGGGTTTGTAAGGGAGCAGGTGGTCTTGTCCTGCACAGAACTAAATTGTCACTGGTGACTTGTTGCCAAAAGTCAGTGAGGGTGGCTCAGGGGATGGATATTTGCCTCACCACCCAGGCAATCTGTGATGGAACTTCCTGGCTGAGAATCAGGTGGGATGTAGAGGCAGTTACATTTACACCCAAGACTTCTGTGGAGGTGCCTACAGAGCTTTCACCAGGGGTGTTTAATGCTGTATTTGCCTGAGCTGTACTGATCTGGTGTGGAGATCTCAGCTTTTGTGCTGGTTTTGGCCTTTGCAGAGTATTCCTTTTGCTTTAGGGGGATGAGGGAGCAGAGCAAAAAAAGCTTCAGTCATAGTTCTTGTCTCAGGGGTTGGTACATCATCCCTGGCTCGATGTTTGAGTCTTTCAGGGTTTAATGTCACACATAAGAGTAGTAATCAAATTTACTAAATTCAGTTTTTGTGAGAGCCATAACACTGTAATCAGGCTGTGGAATACAGTGCTTGGTTATGAATAACTAAACAATTCAGAACAAGGAAGACTTTCCTGATCCAAGGAAAGCAACTGCATTCCTCAGAGCTGCTGGGATGTGAGCTGACACAAGAATAAGAAACCTGGAATACCTTTGAAAGAAATTATTTGTACATTGCTTTCAGTGTTTGTGCTGGACTTGCCTGGATTTTTTGTGAATGCTGAAATACTTGAGATTTATGAATAATTGCTTCTTTAAGGCAGTACTGGGGCTTTGAGATGGTCTGTCCTGCATCTTCTGCACCACACCTCAGGTGAGTGGATTAGTGGATCACAGGTGGGGACTGATCTGCCTGGCTGCTCCCAGGCAGGGTGGCTTTTCTTCTGTGGCATTTTGGGGTGTGAGAGAGAGAGAGAGAGAGAGGATTTTGCTCCCCTTTTTGAGTAATAGGATCAGAATATAAGCAGAGCTGTTAGTACTTTGGACTAAAATTAATTTCTCTTGGACTGGCCTTTTGTTCTTATTGACCAAAGAGCATCTGGCTTGGTGCTTGCCCTCTCCTCTTCTCCTTGGCAGCCCATTTCCAGTGCAACACTTTGGTTTGCAGCTCTTCCTTCATGTGCTGGTTTTGTAACCTGCCAGATGTACTGTCTGAATCCCAATTTCTGGGAATGCTGGGAAGAGGAAAGGCTGAGGCTTGGTGAGCCTGTAGTGGGCCATCTTGGATACTTTATAAGTGGGTGAACACCCTGAGACTTACTGAGAGTTAATGAGCTGCGTCTTTGAAATCCTTTTCTATATCAGGCTCAAACTTCTAATTTCCATGGTGAAGGAAGAGTCTTAGATGAACTTTTCTTTAGCCCCTCGCAGAGTCATTTTTCAGATCATCCTCAGATAGCTTTAGGGCTTTGCAATTGCTTTAGTATTTAATAAAACCACCTGTGATATGAAACTTCAGTGGCTGTGGAAGGTTTTGTTGCTTCCTCCAGAGCTCTGGAGACACCAACTCCAGTGTTGTGCTCAGCGAATGGGAGGAGCAGCACGAGCACTAGAACAGTCTGAAGGGTCAGATGACAGGGCTTTATTGTTTTTTTTTTTATTCTGCTAATACCTAGAATTGGTGATTTTATCGGTTGCTGTTCTTTGCAGGGCAGCACCAAGAGGTTTTTCCTAGAAACTGGGCCCGTCCTCTTAAAACCGAATTCTGCAGATGTTTGTGTTTGAGCCCTGCTGTGCTTAGCAAAGAAGCTTCATATTTAAGTGGGGTTTTTATTACACCATTTTTAATGTCTGTTAAAGGTATAGAAGGATAGAAGTGCAAGGTATAGGAAAAAAAATGTGTCCCTCACACAACTATGTGGATTCCTTGTGTTTTTCTTGGCTTTACCATTGCAGTTTGTAGCTCGGGTCTGTGCTGTGTCCTTTAAAGTCTTTGTTGGAGAGCTTGATTTTGGGGAATTTAGGTGCAGGAACAGTGATGCTTTTTTCCAGTGTGTTTCAGAGCTTGGTAAAATGGATGTGTTGTGTTAAGGGCAGAAAAAACCCCGAGACAGACATACAGCAGGACAAAAGCAGTGGCTAACAGCAGAACATTACTCAAGGTCGTTTTGGCAGATAAGGGCTGGGTCTGCTTACTTTTGCCATATTCTGATTTTTGTGCCTGCCCCCTGCTGAACCTGTCATAAAGACTGAGCTTCCCATTTTAAGTCGAACATGAGAAGTTAAAATGTATTTTAATTGCCACATGTACTTTGAAAGCTCAAGCTCTTAATTTTGCAGGATGGTTTTTTCCCTGCTGTAGTTGAGGTGACATGTTGTCTGCCTGTAATCCCGTGGCAGCTGGAAGGCTTTAGAGATAAGGGTGCAAGTTTAAATAAAGGAGGGGGGGGGGAAGAGGAAAATATACCAAAAACTGATAATGTAAAAATTGCTTTAACACTCTTGCTTTGCCCTCCACTTAGAGGGTTCTGTGCCAGGGTGGTCATGATGTGCAAAGCATGAGTGGGGGTTTGCAAAGCTTCCCTGCATTGGGAGCAGCCAGCCTTGGTACCAGGGAGCTGCTCCTGCACACCCTTGTACTTCAGGCTGGCTTCCTCTCCTAGGCCAGCTTCCAGTGTCCAAGACAATTTTTTTTATTTCCTTGGAGCATGTGGTGGGTGATTTCACCTCCAGACTATCACTCATGACTTACAGGTAAATAACTACTAACAGAGAGAGAGTTTGTGAAGGGGATGTTAAAATCAAATATCCCAAAACAGGTCAGAGTATGTTATACCTGACACTGTTCCTTTTGGTCTACATTGTAAGTTAATAGGTGAAAGGTGGAAATAGATTGTTGTAAAATATATTTTAAAATTTGTTTTGGTGTTGAAGTAGTCAGAATACATCTGTGGTCTTGGTACCTTCATTAAATCCTCCACATCCCAAATGTAAGGGGAAAGCATGTGGGCAAAGGGCTGGATCCATGGATGCAGTACAGCACTTAACAAAAAAGCAAGGCATCCCCTGGCAGTCCCTCATGGAGTGCCCAAGGTGTGGTAATGCCTTCAGAACCAGCTTTCTGGGGGCTGATTGGAGATGTTGATGTACAAAACACTTGTCATCAAAGTTTCACCACAGGATCATTGTACTGGTACCAGAGGAGGATTTTACTCTCTTTCTGGCATTTCTGACACGATGAAGTTGTCGACTTTCTGAAAGGAGACAGGACAGAATGGAATATGAGGAGAAAATGATCCAAACTTGGAGCCCTTTTCATGCAAGGCATTGAACAAAATGTTTCCTACTCTCTCCCTAAAAGCAGTGCCCTCAGTCTTTCAAGATTATTTCGAATAGCTTTTTTCAGCACCCTGTGGTTCTGAATCTTGGCCAGTTGTTTATTCCACTGCAGCAGAAGGTAGTGTCAACAACCAGAGTTACTGTAGATGTCTTTCTGTTGCAGTAACACGCAAATTTTAGAAACACCTTTAGATGTAATTTGTCATTTAAAACACACTGTGTAAAATGCTCTTTCATCTCTTCCTGTTGCTTATTCTCCGGTGAAATCCAGGTATAATAGAGTGAGATCAGTCTCCTAGTAAAGATCCCATGCAATGGTTTTCTTCTTGCTGTAAAAGGAAGCAAATGCTGTAGAGTACGCTGTGCTTTATATTTGTGCTGTAACTACTTTGTTCTGCACTTGCTTATTACAGCAAAGTACTTTATGTAGGCAAGAGGTGCTGTGGGACTGCAGTTTGCCTGTCCCTGGGAGGGGGTGTTAACTTGGGTGCAGCACCCAGGGAATGCACCTGTATGTTTTTAGGGTGGGCTTACACCAGTTAGCTCAGAGAGCAGGTGGAAGAGCTCCCAAATGTCACTAGAGATGAGATCAACTTTTCATTTTCATGAAGTGATGTTTAGGTGTGTGCCTCAACTTGTTTATTTGCTTACCTAAGTCCCCTTACTGTGATACCTGACTGTCTCCTCTTTCCTGTAAATAAACTCCTTGCACCCTGGCTTGGCAGGGAATGGCAGTTCCCCCTCTGGAAGAGTTGGAAGCACAGGCAGCATTAGCTGTGTTTGTGCTGTACTGACCACTCCAGGAAATGGAAACTAATTCTGGGCTGATGGTTTGCCCACTGGCTTATTCCTCATACAGCAAACAGAGTGATCCAGTCTCTTTGACAGGGAGTTCCCAAACCTGTGCTTGTGCTGTGTGTTTTCACATTCTCCCTCTGCTCCCCCATGGATGTGTGAGTGTGCATTTCTGGGTGTCTGGATCTGGACACAAGAGGAATTATGTGTCCTCCCACACAGCTCTGGTGGTGGCAGCTTGTCCAGGACAAAGTTGGTGAGCTAATTTGAACCCTCCTCTTTGCAAGATTTAGCTCGTCAGCTGTCATCGAGCAAATAATTCTGAATATAATGTTCCAGGGAGCAAATGCCTGCTTGTGATCAGGAAGAGGAACTGGGTGAATGTGATCTTAATTAAGCAAATATTAAAAGCAAGCAGAAAATTGTTTACTTTACAAAAGAAACACCTTGTTACAAAGCCACCTGAAAGAAGCTTGGACTGGGGTCAATGTCTTATTGGGAGAAAGTGTTTACCTGTGGTGGCTGAAACTTCAGGTATGCTAATCAAGCTTTTATCCCCTGTTTTTATAGATTGCTGCTAAAATTGGAGATATTCCTCACTTGAATAATTCTACAACACTTGTGGACCCGTCAGTCTACGGTTATGGAGTGCAGAAACGGCCCCTGGATGATGGAGGTAAGCTGGCTGTGAGTAATCATCCCTGGGGATGCAGCTCCTGAAATTCCTCCATGGAGGCAGCTGTCTGCTTTAAGGATGGAGAACGCATCTTTCTGTGTATAAAAATTTTATACAAGATTCTCTGTGCTGTTTAGTCTGATCTAAAGGCATTAGCGTTAATGCGAAGCAATTCTTTGTTAATTCATGAACTGTGGGAATTAGCAAATAAACTGTAATTTAAATCTTGTTCTGTGGTAGTTAGGGAGGGAGGAGGATGTGCTTATTGGGCCTGTGCTGGAGCCCCATGTATAGGGTGCCAAATGTACATAGTAAAGCTGTTCTTCCCCGTTAACCCTTATTTCCTGGGAGCAGGCAGTGTGTAGGAACAGCATTACTTGTGTTCCCTTCCGTGGGTAGCAGTGGTCACAGCACAGGAGCTGAGTTGCTGTCAAAAGTTTTGGTTGCTTTGCACATAAATTTTAAGGAGAAAAGGTATTGATATAAGTTGATGCAAGCTTAGCTTTATTCATTGTTTTTCTTTAAGAATTCTGAAGTCTCTGAAGCTTTTAACGTTGGCCCCAGCCAAGTAATAGTTTACTGAATGGAGCTTATCTGGTAACTGTAATGAGTCAATATTGCATGAAGTGTTACAGTTTTAAAATAAGCCATTAGTGTCTTATCTTTGGGAACAACAGAAATGTTAGAACAAGAGTTTTCTGGTTTTGACAAATCTGATGGTATGCATTGTTACAAGAAGTGTTTAAACTGTATTATCTGCTGCTTTATAGCTGCAAAGAGCTCACCTTTACTTGTGGTTGATTATGACAAAAACGAAAAACATGGCTATGTCTTCCTTTTGCTATTTGCTCTAGTATTTTTCCTGACACAGGTAGCCCTGCAGGGTGATTCTCTCCCCCATGGATATGTTCAGGAGTACTGAGGAGATAAGCAAGGCTGCTGCCTAGCACTTTGTTTGAAAAAAACTTCTTCTGTCTGATACAAAAGCTGAAAATAACTGCACATCTGCTCCTCAGTCTGAAAGAACATGCTGGAGCATGGGGAGAAGTTTCTTTTATGTGGAGCCCCTGGCTTGCAATGTTACTGTTTTCTGAACACATGCCACCACCCACTTCTGTTCTCTGCTGTTGGCTCTATCTGAGCAACAGGTTGCTGCTCCTTTGGTTGAGGGTTTTAGGGAAGGAGGGATTTGTCTGGGACTGTATCTCAAGCTGGAGGATCACTATATCTGTGAGAAGCAGGAGATCTGGCAGTGCTGGCGGGTGCTGGTTCTGCAGGGGAAGGTGCTCAGCCATCACAGGCTGTGCACATTCCCTGTTGGGGAATGCTGAACAGCTCTGAGCTGTGTCTGAATAGCTTTGGGGACACGGCCGTGGGTGAGAAAGAATAAAAATAGCCTTCTGAGAACCAGTCATTCACAACGTTTGCCCTGCTTTCATTGATTCATCAGACTGAACTGAGAGATCTGACCTCTTGACAAAATGGGTTTTAGGAACCTGTAACATGTGAAATGGTTGTAGGGCTTAGTGACAGCACAGGTTAGACTTTGTACTTAAACTTGCACTGGTGAGCCATGAACTTGCTGAGCCTTGTTTGTATTGACACAGACCGTGTCAGCACTGTTGCAGTCTGGGCTATAAATGTACATTATTACTGGTTTCTTGTGCTGTGATACATAACTCCATGGAGCAGGTATCATTCCTGGGGGAGCCTTCCAGACTGGCTGCTCCTGACTGCTGTATTCTTGTTCTCTTCACCCTCTGTTTGGTTCTGGGCCTTGTCTGTAGCTGGTTTTTAAAGTATTATTGTATTTGCCCTTTGGTTGTTCATATACATCTGTATATAACTTTGTCACACTCTCCTCCCAAAAATCTGATCTGTGAGATCTTAGAAGAGAAATGATGGAAGTAATATTTTTAGAGGACTGGAATTTCACAAAAAAACAGGAATTGTCAAGGTAGGAACAGGGATTGTATCGCTTCTTTCAGCTTTGGTTTTATTTCTAATGGCATTAGCAAGTCCTGTACTGAGATACAGGTGTGTGATGAGTTCCCTACCTACCTGTGTGATACTCCTGTGCTAGTCTTTACCTGCAGCCTGGCAAAGCAACTCCTGAAGCTGCCAGTCCTCCTTGCTCTGTATGTTTGTGGTGTGATCCATATCTTAGTCTTGGGCTACCTGCTCTTGCTGCCATGACATTAAAAGTCTATAAAGCAGCTTTACCTTTAGCATCTGGAAGGTTGGACACTTGAAGTAGGAAATCACTTTCTATTTGGAAGGGTGTCAGGATTGCCTGCCCACACTTGTCTCCATTTTCTGCTTGTCTGTGAACCACAGTTTGGAGGCATTGTCAAGAAGCAATTGTGTTGTTACACATGCTCTAGAGAAGTTGCTGTGCAGGGGTTTGGATACCTTTTGCTGCTCTGGACAGCTTGGAAACAAATCTGGTGGGAAATTTACCCCTGTATACTGCATGTTCACAGCTGGGTGCAGGTCTCACTGCTTCCTTATCCCCATGCAGCTCTTGGGAAATTAATGCTGTTGCTAATACTGCTGGAAGAAATTGGCTCCAGAGGAAGTATTTAAGGTGACAGGAAAACTGTCTGTCTTTCAGGACAATCTAATTCTTCCCGTCTGTTTTTGTAAACAGCTGCTGCTGTGGCTGGCTGGCAGCTTAGGAAGTGGTCTTAAGATAGGTGACAGTGCACTGATCAAAACAAATGCAGCTGCCTTTAAAGCATTTCCAGGAAAAATAGATTTGTCATCGTGTTGGAAACCAGAATGTGAGTGCTTTTTGCACTTCCCTTAACTTTAACCCTCATCTGAACCCAAGAGCTGTAGGCTCAGCCCTGGTGACCTGGCTTGGGGGTATTGGATGGAGCTGGAGACTGTTATTCCTCTTTTCCCTGGCTTATTTATCTCCCCTTTCTTTAAAATAATCCTGAAAATATCTGTAGTGCAGGGAAGAGATCAGGTTTATTGTACTGCTCCCAGGAAGTTGTATCCAGCATTTCTGTGGCCACTTGCAGGAGTTAATGTTTCACAGCAAAGGTGAGCATGAGGGACAGGTGAGTCCTGCAGAGAGACCTGGTGGCATCTTACCTGTGGCTACTGCTGAGGACAGATCCCAGCAGACCAAAGGCCTCCATTCTAATTAATAGCTCCCTCTAATTACCAGCACGATTTAATAAATTTATTTAATGCTAAATGATCTTTAGAGAAGCAACCTCCTTTTGTTCAAAGGAAGCAGGGATCCAGTCTGCTGGAAAGAGACTGATGAGGATGTTACCTTTGTTTGCCCTGCTTTGGGCTGCTTTCAAGGAGTGTCCTGTGAGATCTGTAGGGTTCAGCAGCAGTGTTGCAGCTGAGGGCTGGGGTATCCTTTGATTCTGGGAAAACAAAGATGAGAGACCTTGGAGAAGCTTCACACACCACCCCCCTCCACCCCTTTCCCCTCCCCAAGCTCCTCTGGTGCACCCAGATATGAAGATGGCCTGTCTTGGTGTAATAACACTTCATTTTTGTAGAACTGAGAGGCTCAAACACAACATGATCCAGTTGTACAGAGGACTTTATTTCTTTGCTCTAACATGTTTTCAATAAAAACAGTGGTGGGAGGAAGGAAACTTTATCCCTGTCTTGCTGCTGGTGAAAGTCAGGGCTGATGCTCCTTGACACCTCTGCAACAGCAGTAGGACCAGGGCAGAAGTCCAGGTCTCTTGGCAGAAGGTTAGCTTAATGCACAAAATGCCACTGTTCTGCAAAATTGCGACTTTACAGGTGGCCATTTTTTAAATAAGGCAGTTTAAGGGAGGGGAAAAAACACCTATAAAGATTTGCAGTGGAGGCAGACACAAAAATCATTGGGTTTTGACCACTTAATTAAAGAAAAACCTTGCAGTATTTAATGATGAAGAATTAGGTTAACTAATCTCTTGTAGCCTTCTAAAATTTATGATGGTAGCTCTTTGGTTCAAAAGTATGAAATGCAGCCCTGTTCCACTGCTCTCTGGGAGATGTGTCACTCTGATTTTATTCTAGCCATGAAGGTATTCTTGACAAGATTGTATATTCCCATCATGCACATTAATTTAGTGGGAGGCACTGCTCTGTTTTATGGGGTGGAAAAAAAAAATCCACATTTGTTTTGAGTGTCTGTTAGGTGGAATTCAGTTAAGGTGAAGCCTAAAGCAGAATGAAGAGTTATCAACCAGCAGGTGCCATTAGTAGGAAATTGTGCTGATTTTATTCACTGTTTTTCCTTATTTGCAGTAAAATGACTGCAGTTACAGTTAAATTGTACTCAACAGATGTAAAATGGGGAAATTATGTACGTGGCTTGTCAGAGTTCAGCCCCCTCCTTGGTGTGAAGGGAGACAGTGGAATGGTGCATCAGCTTTCGGAATTACAGCGAGCAAGGGCTGCCCCAACCCTGCCTCTCTATTAGTCCCTGTTTCTCAGAGCAAAATGGGCATTTTGGAGAAGGAATGGACCTTTAGGTCGTTTTTTTTCCCCACCAAAACAGAGAGAAATCATAACTGACTGGAAGTAAATCGTTTCCAGTTCTCTCCGTCTGCCTTCAGTCTCAGCTCTTGGAGAGGTTATCTGTGAAATGTGGAAGGAATGGTCTCTCACATAAGTTATTGTGGCATTATTTTTTGGAAGTAATTTGTACAATAAACCTACATTAAGGCTGATATCTGCCTGGAGTGGTGAATGGCTTATTATGGTTGGATAGTACTTGGAATGGGTTTGGAGACCTTGTTACATACATCTAAAGCATTAATTCCCTGACTGCTTTAACTTCCCGTGCTCGTACAGGTTTCCCCTAAGAAGTTGTCTTTTTCAAGTGTAGGATTGTGTTACAAAATGAAGGCTCTTCCCTTCCTTGCATGAACTTGGGTAGTTGATTATAGGATGTGTATCTGTCTCATAATTTGTGGGCAGCGGCTGCAGCAGAACAGGCTGCTCAGAGCTGCCACAGTGAATTGAAATGCCGAGTGAATATTTAAATACAGCCTTGCACAGTTAAAACCACTCTTCCTGGCATCTTGATAATGAGTGGCCTTGGCTGTGGCAACCCCACACCACACCGATAGCCACCAGATCTACTGGATGTACTAAAAATATCCACAGTGCAGTTTGGGGCAAGATTCTGAATTTGGTCCTGTTTGCTCAGCTCCATGGTAGGAGCTTATCAGCCAGAGCAAATAATCCCCATTACATCACTTACCTTTTTCAACTGCAATATTCATAGTTATCAAATTAGAGCTTTTTATATTCCGGATGAGAATATGCAAAGACAAATGTAGCAGACTCAATAAAGCAGCAGTTGTCTTATCACCGAGCTGGGGAGAGTAATAAAATATATATGCTGTCAATATTATGGTCCAGAACTATTACGAAGGTATTGACATGCAACAGAAATACAGTATTGACTCTCTTTGTCTATTTTCTCTGAGTAAAGTGTTTGACCACAAACTTTATGCATTTTTCTACTGGGTTTAGAGAGTGTGAGATGCATCCACTTTCTATCCCTGCCAGCTGATTGCCAATTTATTTCAGGTCAAAGAATGTGCAGCTTGCTGCAAGGTAGTTTGGAACAGCATCTTTATTATCACAGCTCACATGTTGGCCAGCTTCATTTGTTTTGCTCCCTGTGCCCTCCAGGCATGCAATATAATCTTTCAACTGGTTGTTAGCACCAAATGGTCTGGTTTTTAGCTGGTTTGCTGCAGGCAAAGTCCAGTAGGAAGCTCTGCAGGGAATGTGTTCCCACTTTGCATGAGTTGGTCTAATGATATTTTCCCTATTAACATTTGGAAGAAAGATCTAATCTGTTGAGGTTGGGGGGGAGAGAAGTCTGTCTGAGGGGTGTCAGTGGGGAGATAACCGATCATAGGAGGCCCACCAGAAATGCCTGGAATGTGTGTGTTCAGGAACATGTGTTTGGTTGGGCTTAAATACTGTTTGGGTGTCACGAGGTGACTTAACAGACCTATTCCTTTAACAGGTCTCCGTGTAAGTGGGCTCCATGGAGCACAGATCAGAGACACAGAGAGAAGTATGTGCCAGCGGTCCCTAATGCTTTTGGCCTGGACTGAGTGAATCTCTGACTCTGCTCAGCTTTTATTCTTGTTTTTAATACGTACCAGTCTGCTTGAAATTTCTCTTGTCCCTCCTCCCTCCTCCCTTTTTACTCTTTTTTTTTTTTTTTTTTTTTTACTACTTTGGGCTTAATTTGGGAAGGGGGGAGGTTAGTTGCAGGGATTTGGATTTGGGCAGGCAGGATTTTCTCCCATGACTCTCAGCATGGGGAGACACGGATCAATTCCCTATCCTGTGTTCAGCTGGACACTGGGTTATGGTGTGTGTTGATCAAGAAATCCCCTCCTGTTTTGTACCACATAACGCATTCATTTCAGCCACTGAACCTAAATTACTGTTTTGCTTTTCTTTCTTTTTTGATGAAACGGTAAGAACTCTTTTTCTGTAGGGATGAAGTTAGTTTATCCGTGCTAATGCTTTGATTTTTTTCCTTTTTTCTCTCTCTGCCACAGTAGGTAACCAGTTAGGGGCCCTGGTACATCAAAGGTAAGCAGTGGGTTATGTTTTATTATTTATTGATCAGTTCTAATTGTTTATTGATCCACCATCTGTAGTAGTGTTAGGAAGTCAGAGGTTGAGAATGTGGAGAAACTGTCAGCTTGGGTTTTCTCCTGCCTGGGCTGTTTGTTCTGATGAAAAAAAGAGGAGTGGATGTGAAACTTGGATTTGTCTCCTGTAAATCTGCAGGACCAAAAAAAAATAAATTCTCTCTCCTTTCCCTTCCCCTGCCCTGGCTGGGGCAAAAAAGAAAAAGTTTAAAAAGGTCTGGCATTTTGACAAATGGTGGAAGTATCAAACAGATGTGTTATTATTATTATTTAGTTTTGTTGATGTAATATGACCTGGGATGACTCCTTTGTCAAAGATGGTTTTAGGAGACTGAAACAACTATGAGTTGTCGTGCAGCACATCTTAACATCTAATACAAATGTCAAATTATCACTTTTTCTCAAATCCTGGTCTTGAGGTGTTGTTTGTCTTGTTTTGAGTAGGAAGGGGGGAGAGCTTTTCTAAAGCTACATTAGCCTGAAGGTGAATAGTAGTGCATTTCCATCCTGACCAGCTGTTTGGGGCCTCAGCAGAAGGGACAAAAAATGTGCATGAAGACTGTAGAACCTTGAATTTTTAATGGTTAAGTTAAAGCTAATGTCCAGCTAGAACAGCCCAGAAAGGGGTGGGCAGTGTTAGTACTTTATCTGCAACTTAACTAATACAGTGTGTATTTTATACCTTCCCTAACTGATCTAAAACAAAAAGTGGGAACATTTTAAAATACCTCACCACAAAACGTGCATTGAATTTACTATGCAGGTCTTTCATTGCTTTTGAGATTGCTGAACAAATGGTATATAATGCATATATGCAAATTTCATATTCATTTTGTTGTGTTTTCCACAAGACAGAGATGGCATAACAAAATAACCAAGTTAATTCCTTTTACTTGTCTACGGCCAGGTCTTAGGAAACTGCTTTGGGTGCTGTTTTGAGACAGAGCCACATTGAAAAAGTCCAAAGAGCAATAGATATGGAAGTGTTGAGATAATAAGAATTCAGAGGATAATTAAAGGCAACTTTTATTAATTCCAAGGAAAAGAATGATAAGGACAAACAGGCAAAAAAAACCCCAGAACACCAAACCAGTGAATATTGGAGGAGGTCATGCCAGGACTGGCTTTGATTAGTGTGTCTTGGGAAGAGCATATCCAGGTCAGTTGGCAGATGCTGCTTGGAAGGTCTAGGCTCAATATTAAGGAAACTTTGCCCTTTTTTTTTTTTTTTTTGTTAAACCTGTCTGTAAGAATGACAAAAAGAGGTTTTTCCAGCAGCTCCATTGAAGATAGCAGAGATAGACTGGAAATGGATCCAGCATAGGAGGAATTGGGTGACCATGAGAGGGCCCTTCAGAAACAAATGATTTTGACTGTGGTTGTGTGCAGAATCCTTGTGCTGAGCCCAGCTTTCATGGCAGGGATGTAATTGTCTCCAAACTGTTCTTTATAATGACTATTTGATGGGGATTTCTTCTTTTCTTTTTTTTTTTTTCTTTTTTAGGGCTGTAATAACAGAAGAGTTCAAAGTGCCTGATAAAATGGTTGGATTTAGTAAGTACCTTGGATGCTTTTGATGCTTCTTGATGTGTTTCCTGTGCAGGAATGCTGTTTATTCTGGCACAAGTTTTTGTGCTTACTAACCTTGGATAAGCCTTGTTTAATGCTGTCTTTGTGGGGACCAGAGGATCTGTGTTTAAAATCCAGATGCAAACTGCATGGGAAAGTTTGGTGTCCCTGTAATAAGAACAAGAGCATTTGGTACAAGTTACTAGGAGTTCTAGTGATTTTCTCCTTTAAATTCCCATTAGCACAATACATAAACAAGTCAAAAGTGAATTTATTTCTCATTGAAACATTTTACTTTGAGTATGCAAAACCATGAGAGCTGAAGAAGGGAACCATATTTTAAATGTTAAAATATGAGTTGACTAAAGGCAAGTTAAACAGAATTTTAAATTTCTCCTACATTTGCTGCAGGGAAACACAACCAGATGAGAATTTTTGCTGCATTTGCATTCCTGATACTGTTCTCTTTCAAGCTTGATCCTAATTTCTCCCTTCCTCTTAATGATCATTACTCTTCCTTTCAATGGCACCTCCTGCTGATGTGTTACTGCAGTGATTGCATAGACTCTTCCACTGCTGGGTCTCTGTGTATCCCTTCCAATTTGATATATGGAGAGTAAAAAGGAAAATAACAGGCCGTGATAATTACCCCATAGGGCGCCAAGTTTTGTCCCGACTCGAAAGACACCATAAAACTGTAACTCAAATTCCTGCAAAGGAAATGCTCATTCCTCTCCTGCCAGACCTCTTTATTTATCAATCCTGGTGCCACACGTGGGGCAGTGTTGGAGGGATGCTTGGCCCTGGAAGAGGGGAGCTTTGCAGGCATCATCTCTGTGTTAAATCTGATCCTGGTCCAGGGGCACACAGAGGTGGGGGATGCAAACCCACAGCTGGGATGCTTCTTTGGGAGCATCCTGAGCCAGGCATACCTGTTTGTCTTGACAGTTTTGCTCTTTTTGCAGTCTGGGAAGGGTAGGAATGGGGATTGGCACAGTCTGTCCTCTGTATGTCTCATTGTGAAACAGCAACGTGTCAACTCTGAGAGTTAAGGGAGATGGATTTTTGTGTTCACTTGAGGTTGATGGAGCATTTCAGGATGTAGTTCTGTCTAAATGCAGACCAGCCAAATAGCATGGCCATTCAAAAATGGCAGTAAAACAGGAATTTTAAAGAAATAAAAGTCTTTGTGTTTTTTAGTCCCCCAGATAACTGACTTATTGATTCAGACTGAACAAGATGTACTTAAATTACTCTTGTAGCTGCACTCAAACTAGTGCCTTATGTATTTCCATTCCAGTGCAAGACAGGGTTTTTGGTTGGTTTTTGCAAGCAAATAGAATAACTTTCAGCAGTATTTTAGTGGGTTTTTTTCTACTGTGATGAATTTGATCATGCTGTGGATGTCTCTTCTGCAATCCTGGAGTCAAACTGTTCCTTTATAGATAGCTGCAGAGGAGTAAAAGGGGGAAGGTGCTCTGCAGTTACCTGGGGAAATGGTATGTTCTGATGCTTGTTGAACTCATTTCAGTAATCGGCAGGGGAGGAGAACAGATCTCACGGATTCAGGCAGAGTCTGGCTGCAAAATTCAAATTGCTCCAGGTAAGAGGCTCTTTGTACGGTGGGTGAACAGGTTTTAGTGTTGAAGGATGTTGTGGCCATTAGATCAGGTACTTCCCATGATCCCGGTGTGTTATCACCATTAACAGGGATACAGACATGGGAGAGCTGTTGTGGGACCCACCTCCCAGCCAGCAGAGAGAACAGGTTTGTCAGGTGGTTTGGGGAATGGCACAATGCAAATGGAGTACAGTGCAAATGGACAGTCCATTTTGTTGGGTTCCCTCCTGGTGGTGCCACTTTGCTTAGCTCTGTGGTTTGCCTCTGACTAGGCTGGTCAGCTCCAAGTCCTGGCAGAAGACATTCCAGGAGGGTGGCAGCAGCTCTCCGTGCTTGCTTTGCATCATGAAATGGGACCATCCACCCAAATGGGATCATTGTTCTGTGCTAGTTTGCTTTGGAGAAGGCTGTGCTGCAGTGCTGTACATGGAACTATTGATGAATGTCATCTGAGTTCTTACCCCTCCCTCTAATTGGTGGGGAAGGCTTTAAAGGAATGCAGACATCCAGTAAATCATTTAAAATATGTTGATCCTGGCTGTCTTTGAATTCTTTTAGCATGTTCTGCGTGCAGGGGGGTGGTGCTTCCATTGGTGCTTGATAGTTACTGAAACAGCTGCCACATTTTTAATTCCATGTATTACAAATTTTCTTCTTGTTTCCTTTGCAGACAGTGGTGGGATGCCCGAGAGGCCCTGTGTACTCACCGGGACACCAGAGAGCATTGAGTGAGTTCTGATTTCATTTCCCTCCTTTTTCCTTCTTTCTCTTCTCCCTAATGCTGCGCTCTGTCAGTGGTGCTACTTGGTTATTAGCCACACCAGCAAATGTTGGCCTAGAGAAACTTGAGGGTCTCTGGAGCATAGAACCTCTTGGTCTGATGCTTTAAACCGTGCACCTCAAAGGCTTTTTTTTTTTTTTTTTCCACTTGCAGTTTGAATCCTCTGCAGAAATTTCCTTGGAATTCCCCTCCGCAGGGTGAGGTTGCTCTTAGGGCACCTAGGATGCAGTTTTCCAACTGCAGCTTTCCAGGATACTGAGCTAAGCTGTTTGAAGGGCACTTCTCTTCTCCCCTTCGCTTCCCTACTCCTATTGAGATGACCATCCTTCCAGCTGAAGAAGGGCTGCATGAGGCCTGTAAAGCCTGTCGGTGCCACTCCAGGATACCCTGGAGGTGTTGGTGTTGTTGCAGAGCAGCATGAGGCCCATGGGTGCTTGTCTCTGCATCGCTGCCAACAAGAAGCAAAGGACTGAACCCAAGTCTTGATTCTGCTCCTTGCATGGTAGAGACACGTGGCCAAGCCCGCAGGGATTTCTGATCTTTAGTCCTATAGAAACTTTAGGGACAGTGTTTCCTCCCTCCCCCTTCCCAGGAGCTGAGTTTGAGACTCTCACAAACCAGTTGAGGACCTCCTGCTGGAACTGGATCCAGGATCCTCAGGCTTACAGGAACACACTTAACATATGGAGCTGCTCTTTCTCTCCCCAGCCTTTGGGTAGGTGGGTTTTTTAAAATCCATCTGGAAATCTTTGAGTTGCATTTGATAGTGAAAATACATGGGTGCAAAGACTGTCTCTCTAAAGAGAAGACACTCATCATTCTTCCATTCTTAAGAGATCTAAGGGTACTTTAATCTCCTTATTCTACCATAATACTGCAAGCAGTGAGCCAGAATAAATATAATTGGCAGACTCACATTATAGGGCAAGCAGTGTCTTCTTGCTGGTATTGAAGTGCTTTTTCCCCCTTTAGCAAAGGATATTTCAGAACAAGAGCAAAATATTAAAAAGCTGGGATGCCTGATGCAGTTGGGGAAAAAGGGGGGAGAGTTATAGTTAAGACTTCATGGTTCTGAAATAAGCAGTTAAATGTCATGTCCTTTAAATAAAACATTAATACATTTAGAAGTGAGAATACTCAATTTGTGAAGCAGAACATGGACATGGAATTAGGTGAAATTTAATTTACTTTTGTGCTAAAATTCTTGTCAAGGTGGTTGTTTGAAGTATTTTTTCATGCTACTTGTAGAAAAAGAAAATGAAGAAAGGAAACCAATTAGATGTCAGACTTCTTTGAGAAGGGTTTTGTGAGAAATGTTTTCATTAGTTATATCCAGTGGCAAACTAATAGGGTTAATTTCCAAGTGACCCCTTCTCATCTGAAATATGTTGTGTATTAACTGTTGTGGTCTTTATATTGTGACTAGAAGAACTTTGTGCAAAATATGAAGATGGATAAATAAAACTCTTTAAGACTTCTCTAGAATATTTGAAGTGGGCTTCCAGAAATTCCACCTTTTCCCTTGTTTTGTGAGAAAGACGAGAGCAAGCGGTCTCTGCTCTGTGTGCAGCCTCAGCACCACCCCCTGAGCTGCCTTGGGTGAATGTCTGCTTGAAGGGGTGACTTTGTACTGCTTCCTCAAATTCCCAGAGAGAAGACAGTCATTCTTAGGGTGCCACAGCTTGGTGTGAAGTGGAGAGAGGGGAAGATGCTGCATTGGAATGAGCAGGGAACCAGTGAATTTCTTTGACTTTCAGAAGGGTGTTGGGACAAGGGCAGGAATGGGATGTGTTGGTATAGGAGTCATCAAGATGAGGGGCAACCCTGTCAGTTACCTCTGACATGCTAAATATTTTAGTGGAGGGATCTTTAATCTCCCAAATGCTTCTTTGTGTGTCTCTTCTCACCAGGAGTAGAAGAACCCAGTCTTTCACTGCTGGCTGCTGCAGCATCCTTGCCTCACTTCGCGGTGTAGCTTCAGCACCTACTGCTTGGAGCAGAGGCTGTGTTAGGACAGTGTTCTGGTGCTGCTGGTAAGAGCAGGCAGAGAAGAGCAAGGCAGTTGCCTGGGACTGATCAGAGAATGGTTAATCCATGGGCTGTGTTAGTATCAGAGCAGTGTGTACGTTTTGTCTTGACTGAGAAGGAGAACAGAATTTGAGTTTTACCAAATACTGTATGTGTTAGGAAAGTTCAGAAGCTAAAGCATCTTCATTGAAAGTAAGCACCCCAAATGCTACAGTCCAACTATTGTCCTTAACTTCCTAAGAGGTCAGAGCATGCTGCTGCTCTCTCTTCTCTCTTCCCCTTTCAAAAATCAAACTGCTTATTAAGTAATCATGATAGGGGAAAACAGATATCAAAGAGTTTAAAAAAAAAAAAAAAGGCAAACATTGTGCTGACTATGGTTTCTTCCATCTTTTCACTTCTTCTCCTCTCCCTGATCACTTTCCATTCCGATGGTTCCTGGTCTCTTGGTCACGTGGAACAATGTTGTCTAATGGTTGTTTCCCTCGATTCTTTTCCAAAGACAAGCAAAACGGCTACTGGGGCAGATTGTAGATCGCTGTCGGAACGGACCTGGTTTTCACAACGATGTTGATGGCAACAGTACGATTCAGGAGATTTTGATCCCGGCATCCAAAGTGGGTCTAGTCATCGGCAAAGGAGGTGAAACAATAAAACAGTTGCAGGTGCGCAAGATGCATTTCCTTTAGGGCTCCTCTTCCCTACTGCAGCTTCTCTAGATCGACAGGAGCGGGCTGAAATGGAGAGCTTTAGATGCTCTAACCTTCTCCAGCAGGGACTTACTCTTCTGCCTTCAGAGAGCTGGACTCAAATCCAATCTTGTGTTACAAACAAAATCGGTGTGGCCCCAGCTACGCAGGTAGTGGAGTTTTGCCAGAACTGTGACAGAAACCCATGTGCTGTAGATAACACTTGGTGTGTGCTGTTCAGGAGGGGATCCTTGTAGCCAAGGAAGGGCTGTGTCTGCTCTGCTCTGCAGTATTTTTAATGCCAGCCATGCTGTTGTAGAGTGCTGTGCTTCTCTGTTGTTGCTGATCTGTGATAAAGCTGGTGTGTGTCATCTTTTTTTTCCTCATCCCACCCCCTTTCTAATTAAAAGTGTTGTGTTACGTATAAACTATGTTCCTAGACATTCTTTATTCCTCCACCTGGTACAAGTTTTTAAAGAGTAAAGGGTTTTAGAAAAGCATCTATGTCAAAAAATGTAGGGGTTTTGAGTGCCCTGGTTAGACCTCTGTCATACAGTTTTGAGGCTGGTCACATAGTAACTGTTACATGCAGACAGCTACAGATTTTGGAAAGGGCTGGAAAATCAGCTGTCAAGGTAGAGGGGGTTCTCCTTGCAAGGATTCAGCTATTTGAGAGCTTCAGGAGTGGCACACTTTCTGGCAGTCCTTCACACTCTAGGACTGTTACTGAATTTGTGCTGTAACTGCTCGTGAAGAGCTAAAGTAGCATTCTGTAAAGGTGCTGATTTCACCTACGTAATGTTGAGTAACCAAGATCTAGTCCCTTTTTTCAGGGACTCTGCTTAGCAAAGTGCTCTGTGCTTTTTCTTCAGGAGCGAACGGGGGTGAAAATGATCATGATCCAGGATGGTCCTTTGCCCACTGGAGCAGACAAACCTCTCCGTATTACTGGAGATGCATTTAAAGTACAGGTATGTAACACAAGTGAGCGGTTGCCCCAGAGAACTGAGGAGAAATTTAAACTTCAGTGTATTTGTGAGCATCTGATGGAGTCAAATCCAACTGTAAATGTAATAATCCATGCTGGTTTTGTTCTGTAAGGTTGAGTAGAGCAAGTTAAAACACCAGACTAGCTTGTTTACAGCGTAACCTAGGAGCTGTCATTCCACATAAATATTATACATGGGTAGGAGTAGAGATGAGGAGGGTTTGGAGAAAGTAGCTTTGAAATGCTTTCCAGTCTGTGTGGCAAAAAATCCCAGCTCTGTCACTTGAGCAAATGGGTTCTTAGTGAGTGACTAAATCACATGTTTGAGACAGTGGACCTTCCACAAAACTCTCAGACAGCCAATTGACGCAGGTAATTAAAAGAAACTATCCCAAAACAACTCCTGAAACCAAGGGGTTTGCTTCATATTGGTACCTCAGTGTGCTTGTGTCAGGGTTCTACAGACCTGGACATACCTGCGGTTCGAACTAAAACCCACGATCGGCCGGAGACTGGAGGATTGCAGCCTGATGGGAGCACTTGAATTAAAGCATTAAAGTTGAGCCATGGCTAAACTTCTCAGCCATGGCTTCACTTCTCAGCAAGTGCCTTTCATACCTTGCTAAGTACTTAAATCTAGCTTAGCATTCCTGTCTCCAGTAAAAGTAGTTCTGTTTCATAGGATCTCCCTAATCATAAATTGCTGCAACAGTTGATGTTGCTCGGGGACAGTGTGTTTGGGTTGTATTTTTCAAAGATCTTATTGCAAGATCTAATACTTTTTTTAGATTTAATACTTTTTTCCCCCCAACATTCTTACTGTGGAGGTATAGCTGTGCAGAAAGGAGTGTAATGGCAGTCTGGCTACTTTTAACCGAATCGTACTTTCAGTGCTGCCACTTCCCAGGTGGCTTCTGCCTTGCAAGATTTGCTCTTGTCACATCTTCTGTGCTATATGTCACTCCAAGGAAACATGGAGACTGCACGGGCTGGAAGATCTTTGAGGCACTTAAAGTTGAGCATGCTTAGAAAGCACTCAAGAAGCAGGGTGAATCCTTGGGTTTGGTGGGATTCTGTGGATACCGCACCACTGGTTCTTAACTCCCTCAAATCCCTGTGAAATCCCTCCATCGCCCTTATTTCTGTCTTGACATCTCTGAAATTGATGTTGTTGTTTCCTTCTGTAAAAGATACCCTGGAAACATGGAAAATATGTAAAAATTTAAGGAGTTAGATTCATCACTCTCCTTCAAGCTAGGAAATAGAACCCAGGTGTCAAAGCTTGACTGATAATAAAGAGAAACAAAGGCTTGGGTTTGACATGTAGGCTTTTTTTTTCCTTTTTTTTTAATGGTGACTACTCTTGGCTTATTTCCAAGGTACCCTTTTACTAGCTGGGCTACATGCAGGCTTGTGAATGGCCTTGAGGGCTCCCAGTAGGTAGGAAGAATATTGACTTGTCTCAGAAAACATCTTGCTGGATTGCTGCAGACTTGGGCTTAACTTTTCACTGAGACAGTAAGCTCACTGCTGCCCACCTGCCTCCTTGGTACGTGCTCTCTGGCTCTTGGTGGACGTGATCTCTGCTGTGCTACTTCAGCTTCTGCCTTACTGTATTGCTACCCAGTAGGAAAGGACCTTCACTTCCTGTAATCTAAAAATAGAACAAAAAATCAAAGATACTTTAAAAGGTAAAGGGCCTTTTTGAAAGACTGGAGGAAGCAATTGCACACAACAAGCTGCCACCTTATGCACTCAACAGGTTTTGTCAGACATGGAAGATGCCATCAAGAACAGATCTCCACTGACTGTGGTAAAAAGAAACCCTAAATCAAAATGCTGTTCCCGTTAAGGAGGTGGAGATCCCCGTGCCTGGAGCCACTGTCGAGGCCCTAACACCAGGAGGGCAAGCAGAACAATTTTAAGCTAACTGTAACTTCTTTCCCCATGTAGCAAGCGAGGGAAATGGTACTGGAGATCATCCGAGAGAAAGATCAGGCAGACTTCCGAGGCGTGCGCAATGATTTCAGTGCTAGGATGGGAGGAGGCAGCATAGAGGTACGTTTCCGTCACGAGTACTCTGCTAACCTCCCTGTGGGATGGGCAGTGGGTGGAAGTCATCAAACTGCACATGTAACATTGTTTTGAAATGCGTTGTGTTCTTTTGCCGGAAGAATTGAGTCTGGCCGCGAAGAGGAGGAGTTCTCGTGGACTCCCAGATGGCACCTTTCTAATTGTCTCTTTTTTTAAGCTGCATTCTTGTAGTGCAGAGTTGGTTTAGTGGGGAAGGAATTTGTGGCCACCTGTTTGTTTTTCTCTAGCAATGCAGTTCTGTAGCCTGGAGCTGCCTAACATGGCCCGTCCTCAAAGTTAAAGAGCATCTCCTTGTAAAATCAGAGTCATTCAGTCTAGTTCTCTGAGCTTTCATACTCCTTTGCCTTTCCCATCAGGTCTCTGTGCCCAGGTTTGCTGTTGGAATTGTGATAGGAAGAAATGGAGAAATGATCAAAAAGATTCAGAATGATGCTGGAGTTAGGATTCAATTTAAACCAGGTTTGTGTGAGGATGGAGAGCCGTTACTTTCTGACCAGTGTTCCACTTTGGGATTGCTAAAGTGAATCTGAGCTGAGGTTCCAGCAGCTTAGGCTTTCCTCATTTACAGGTGCATTGTTCTCTTTCTGAAACCCATTTAAATATGATGTGCTGCCTCCTCATGCACTTCTGGTTTTCAGAGAGTAAGATTATATACAGCTCATTTGCAAACATTAGCTGTCACAACAGTCATGTCTTGAGTGGTAACTGTATGGATAAACAAAATAACAATAACAAAAATCTTTTATTTCCTGTTAAAGAATTCTCCTTCAGGACATGAAAGCCTTTGGGGATCAGGAGTTGATTAATTCTGAGTAACTTTCTCTGGGTCCTTGGCTGTCTGATCACCTATCAAAGCTGCCTTTTGTCCTCTTAAAATTATATCAATCTCTTTCATGGCTTTTTGACATTTGAAAGTGTGTTTTCTTTTGAGTGTTGTTCCCTCTGCAGTGTGGGCTGGGTTTTGTCTTCTTTCAGTCCAGGGAAGAGGGGCTGAAGGTGGAGGGAAGCAGTAGCTCCTGGGATAGTTCTGTTGTGTGAAAATGCTGCCAGCAGTGGTGGTGCTGGAAGGAAGCTTGTGTTGGCGAGTAGATGTTTTCTCCTTTTAATTTGGTCTTTGCCACCTCTCTTCACAGATGATGGGATTAGCTCTGAAAGAGTTGCACAGGTCATGGGGCTTCCTGACAGGTGTCAACACGCAGCCCACATCATCAATGAGCTCATCCTCACAGCACAGGTGAGTTCGGGAAAGAGCTTCTGTGGGAACATCTGGGAACTTAAGTTGTTTGGAAATGATGAGCCGGTGGAGTGGAGTCACATCAGGCACTGACTGGAGGCTCTGCTCAGACAGCAGAGCATTGCCAGCGCTCAGTGGTGCCTCCTCTTCAGACTCCAGCCCTCTGGTCTGGTGGGAGGGCACAGGAGGGTGATAAATGTTCAGGTATTGAGACACTGTGCTCTAAGACACAGCAACATATTGCATCGCCCAAGAGCAAGAAGTACAATGGTGGGTGAAGTAGTAGGGGCAGACTCATGAAGGAGGTTGTATATTCCCTTTTACATTGTAAGAAACTAAGACTTTAGGCCATATCAAGTACCTGAACATAATTTGTCCATCAAGGTCCATAATTTGTCCATCTTGATAACTCTTCTTGCCCAGGATCTGGTTTGAATGCTTGATTTTATTAATTTTTTTAATAATCCACTTAAGTTTTGAGGTCTATTATGATAGCCTCTGACTGCCCATGGCTTTTTGATTTTGGAGAAATCAGTTACCCAAAATAGGTACGTCCTTTACATGTCTTTGAACTTAAAAGCCTCCTCTGGAAGTTGTGGAAAATGTGAGTTTCAGCTGACTAATTCCAGCAGTTCTTTAAAGGATGACACTTGAAAGGGTTTAGAAGCAACTCCTGCGTGTGTCTGTGCCAAGATCTATTGTTTGCTTTAAAGAGAGCCCCCATCACAGACTAAAAGACCTTTAGTAGTTGATGCTTATTTATAGGATTATTTCAGAAGATATATAGGCATGCATTTAAAAATATAAATATCTTCCTGAGTCAGGAAGGCAACTGTAACCTACATTACTTGGCATTTCTTTAAAGTGCTTCAAAACCTTCAGTGTGAAACTGCTGTCCAAGAATATCTTAATCCAGCACCACTGATTATCAGCCAGTTTAACTTACCTTGCTTTATTTTGTTTTCTGATGTGCACTGGGGCCAGCAAAAAAAAAACACTGATAACACATGTTTTGCCTTGGAAGGAACGAGATGGCTTTGGAAGCTTGGCTGTCGCCCGAGGAAGAGGCCGTGGCCGTGGGGACTGGAGCGTCGGAACACCCGGGGGCATGCAGGAAATAACCTACACGGTGCCAGCTGACAAGTGTGGGCTTGTTATAGGCAAAGGTGGGTTTGGTGACTCCAAATACCAGAGCTTGCAATCGTTCCCTCTCAGGATGGTCACGTTCTTGCTGTCTGACAGTGAAGCTTTGGAGTTTTCTGTAATTGTAGGTATTTAGTGGCCGGTGAATGCAGCATAGGAATAAGCTATAACCGCTTGTGGTTGTTTTCTTTGTGGTGCTCTCACTCATAATTGTACTCTCCAGGCCCTTGTTCACAAGCTGTAAGAGAGGCTCTTCATGCAGAGCTGTCAAATAAGCTTGTTATAACAAGCAGCTGGCTGAGAAAAGGCAGGTTCATTTGTGGATTCTTTTTATATAGAATTCGTTTAAAGGACAGTTTATCAGGGACAAGCAGAGCAGTCATTTCATCATGCTGGATTTCTGAGTGCTGTGTGATGAAATGGAAGGTCTCTGAGTGTGGTAATAACAGTTGCTGCTTCCAGCCACATACCTGAAGTGTGTGATGAATAAAGTGAAGTAGCAGGATTTGTCTTGTCTGCATCTGGGCTGGCACCTGACCTGGTGCACCTTGGGAGCATGTTCACTGCCATGGAGGCCCCTTGGCTGCCTTAGCCATTGGATCTTTCCATGCTGAGGAGATGGAGGAGGAGTCATCAGACCTTCCTCTCAAGGACCAGGACAACCCCACGATGGTTATGATACTGAGCATCAGCAGCAGTCTCAGTTTGTCACAGAGCAGGAGCTACACATGGAGCAGTACTTAGGGTAGAGCCAGTAGAAGAACTCTGTTGCTCTGAGCTGTTGTGAAGTGTCTGAGCTAATGCACTGACTTATCAAAGGAGGTGTATTTAATTGTTCTATCTGCTTATTTCAGAAAGAGTGATATGTGCCTTAACTGGTATTTAGGTAATCACAGTTGGCTTTTAGCCTCAGCAAATAGAATAGGAATAGACAAGCTACACCGGGAAAGGAGGCAGAGATCTGAGGGCATCGTGACATGTTTCAGTGGCTTGGAGTTTTCTGGGCAGGACTGAGCTTGTGATGAGATGTGGTGTGGCCTCTTTCCCCTGCTGCACATCACTGCTGTTCCCTGCCATGTGTCTGGCCCCACAGCACCCTGAGCTCCTGCCTTGTTGGATGACGAGGGACACGGGCAGGTCAGCCACGTACCTGTAATTGTTTTCAGATGTTGTTCTGTGCCACAAACCTGAACACTTTTTTCAATATGAAAACCCACCTGCTTTCCCCATTATGCAGAAATTGCAGGGTGATTGTGCTTGTCCTCACTGAACAGGCCAGTTGGGCGAAAGATCAAGCAAAGCAAATTTTAAGCCCATGAGTGAGACTTATATGTACGGAAAAAGCAAATTATAATGAAACTTTATTGCTGTATCCATTAGTCATCCTTAATAAAGGATCAGAAAAGGTCACTTGTTGTTCTGCAGTGCACTGAAGTGGAGCATTTGTGACTACAGAGAGCACTGCGTGCTGAAAAGATAAATGCAGGTAGTGGAGAGAACGTCCTACCATTCAAGTGCAGGGCCTGGCACAGCCTCACTGGGGGGTGAAGGGTGGCTTTTTACCTTTGTTTCCACAACAGCAAAATAGGGATTCTTACCCGGCCAGATCAGAAGCTTTCTGGAGTGACTAATTACTAGTTGTATGGTGATTTGAGTGCTTGTAGCATTGTAATACCACCTTGTAATCGGTGTTCTCACAGTGCCTATGCTCTTAGGCTGCTGCAGCCTTCACTTTTGTCAAGTGAGTGATGGCTGTAGTGTTGCCTTTTGGGGCCTGGATCGGCATGGATGTGCTACACTCTCCCTACATTGATGCAAGACAGCCAGTTCTTGTTGCTTCCTGTGCAGGGCAGAGGGGATCTTAGTGGGTCTTTTTTTTAATAGTGACCAATTATAAAACATTTGCTCCCCTTTATAGTTTCTGAGCAGTTTCCAGCTTTTGGGGGTTTTTTCCCACTAGGATACAGGACAGGACTGTTGAGCTTCTCTGTAAAATCTGGCTGAGGCCTCTGGACCATCAGCTTGATCTCCAGATCAGCACCTAAGCCATGGGTGCCCCGGGCCCCCAGCGTGGTGTATGTGATGTGGCCACGTAACTGCTGCTGTGCTTCCAGCTCCCTGTGACCACTTGGGACAGGGAAAAGAGGGAGATAGGGAAGTTTCTCATCTCAGTTTCTGCAGCACATGTGGTAGAAGGTCTAGGGCCCTTTTCCTATGGACATCACTTCTCAGCTTGGGAGCGTGAGCCTTTAGGAGCCGACAGGGCTCCCCATGGATCCTGTGCCTGGCTTTTTCCTCTAGAGGGTGGGTAGGTGCAGCTTTTCCCTTCCAAAGGCCCCGAGGAAGGGTGGAAGCAAGCGTCATACACATGTCAAGCGCCGTCTGTGTTTTGGTGGTGCTTGGAAGCAGCCCTCCCTGGGCCCCCCTGGATTTCCATGATAAATACTGCGATCCTGACAGATACCGCGGCCGGCCCGGCGCTTGTCAGCCCGGCTTTGAGCAGGTTTGATTAATTGCTTTACGATTTCACGTCCAGCCGGGAGGCCGCTCCTGGATCCCTCCTGCCCCCCATCAGGTGGAAGAATGGAGCGGGATGAATGCCCTATAGACAGCCACCATGTGCCGAGCGGGTCACCTCGCTGTGGGGAGGATCAGCTCCTTCCGGCACCCGGCAGCATCACGGGGGCTGCGTCACTTCATTTGCATGCTCTGGAGGCTGGGTTGGGATGGCTTGGATGGGAGGGAGCGCTTTGGCATTGTAGGAGGGTAAGGAGGACAAGGGCACCAGGTCCTGCTATGAGAATAGGAACTTGCAGCCTCCCTCGTGGAGCGGCAGCAAACTTGATCCTGTGTTATGGTCTAGGAGAGACCTGCTGTGGAAACAGTCCCAACAACCACGGACTTGGTGCTGAATGGAGCAGTGATTTAAAATCTGTATTACCCCTTGCTTCCAGCTTGAGAGTGCTTCAGTTTCTAATCCCCTTTTGGAAGGAGAAAGTGGTCAGCAAGCCCTGGTTGTCCCTCGGTCGCCCAGTAAAGAAGTTCTGCCACTCCTTCAAACTGTGTTGCCTGAAAGGGTCCTCTGTTTTCATTAAGCAGATGAAATGGCTGTTGGTTCAGATCTCACCTCAATATGTAAAAAACAGAGCTTCAAACAAGTCTGCATCAGACAAAAGCATTACATGAAAAAAAAAACCTTCTTGGTTTTGAAACTTCATCTTCCCCCTTTCCCATGCTTGACTGAAAGTAAGTGGGTTGGCTTTTGGCTGCACAGTACAATCCCTGTTGTCTGCCCAGGGATGTGACACGACTATCTTTTGTTAAATGCATCTTCAAAAATTCATTTAGAAAGAGTTAATTGCCCTTTGGCAACTTTTCCTCCTCCCTTCCCCGAGAAGGCTTTAAAATGTTAAAAAGGTCACGAGTCCATTACAATGAAATGAACAAGTGTCTGCAACATCCACAGTTTGTTTTGAAGTTGTGCTGGATGTATAGAGATGGAAATGTGAGCAAAATTGAGGAGATTGTTTTTGGAGACTCTTTTTAATTAAAACCAGACACAAATCTCTGGTGAGTTTCCTTTGCTCTCTATTCTGCTTGCTGTTTGTCCTTTGGGCTGATGACTTTTTGGTTTGTGATTTTAAAAATTTTAAAACCTCTTCCTTCCCTGCACCCTTTAATTTCTTCAGTTGAGTGGAGCTGCTCTGTAAGTTGTGTGAGCTTCCAAAAGAAGAATTGAACCATTGTAACATTGGCTGAAGCTTTTGTTAAGCAAATTTCATGAAGAGACCGGGACCTAGCAGGTCTTGAGGAAATCAGATCCACTGTGACTGGCCCTGCTGCATCCTGCTGGAAGCACTCCTGTGCTCTTGTGTATCCAGATGGCAAACGAGCCAGACATGTTCACTGCATGCACAGCTAACTCTGAAATAGCAGGAGACAGCCTGGAATCCTGTGCTGCTGTGGTTGTGGAGGGATGTGTAGCTGCGGGGTGAAAGCAGAGGCTGCTTTAGGGCAATAACCTATCAAACAGCACATGTTTGGGAGAAAGCTTAAGCTTTGTTCAGCTACAAGGTATGTGGCTGGTGGCTTTTTGCCTTAGTGATGATAAAAAAAGAAAGAAGCAGCATATTTTGGTTGCAGGTTACCTTCTTTTACGGAGGATTTCAACAGCTGTGCAAAACCACCAGAATTCAGTCAGTGCAGTTTTTGCATCTGTTTTGTCAGAGTGAATCCCAGCCATGCTGCATCTTGTTGGGATGTGTGCACACAGGGGGGCTGTCTGTTAAAGCAGCACCGTCCATGATGCCATGACCCAAACTTGCAGTAGCTCATGGCTGCAGGTCATGTTTGTGGCACGTTAAAGGAGCAACATGAGCCCAGGTACTGTGGTTTCTTTTGCTGTTGCCATCCTCAGCCCACCTCCTGAGGCACACAGAAGGCAGCTGAAACCATAATTTGCCACCAGAACCTGACTTCTATATGGTTTTGTGGAAAGAGATGCAGGATATCCCTCCTTATGTCTTGGTTTTCTTTTCTTCAGGTGGTGAGAACATCAAGAGCATAAATCAGCAGTCGGGAGCCCACGTGGAGCTCCAGAGAAACCCACCTCCCAACACAGACCCCGGCGTACGAATATTCACAATCAGAGGGGTTCCCCAGCAAATCGAGCTCGCTAGACATCTCATAGATGAGAAAGTTGGTGTAAGTTCCATCTCTGTTGGTCTTCATCTGTCTCTTCCAGACGTGGTTTAGGTACCTGTAGGCCTGGACTTGAATATACATGCTTACATTATTCAGCTTCAAAACCATTTGCCTGTTAGCAGCTGTCTTGAACTCGATGGCCCTCCAGCATCCACTGGGCTGAGTTTTGCTGTGGTCCCAGAAGGATCTGACTGTTGATATAATCATGGGTAGTGTATACAGTTATATGAGAGGGAAGAACAGCAATAATAAGGTATGAGAAGGCTGCCAAAGGATGTTTTTGAAGGGAAGACAACAGTGTTGCTATGTTAAAATGACGTAATCCTGGCAGCATCATCCTGAAAGCAAAACATTCAACTCCTTGCTCCAGTAAATCCAGGATGATTTATCTTACACTTAATGCAGTGCTGTGGTATTGAAGCTTAATAATGTCAGGCTGCAGTACTACTTTGGTAAAAAAGTATGGAAAATACTGAACTGGGGCATAGGAAAGCTGAAAAGCAGCCTTCATGCTGAATTGCTTGAGAGGAGAAGGCTTGACACCAGCCTCAGGATCCACGTGTCCCAGGCTGTCTTCTCTCTTTTCTTACTACTCATAATAGCTGCCTCCACCCTGTACTTGGAGCTGGCATTAAATATTTGTGGATTCCATGACAGGGTACCAGCATGGGTGGACCTGGAGGATTTGGTCAAAGTCCGTTCAGCCAAGCACCCGCTACACCTCATCAAAAGTAAGCTGCTCCATCTCATCACCATCGGGCTGGGAGGGGATGGCTGGGAGCCAGGAAGTGTTGGGAGAAGGTTGGAGGACCCTGAAGGGGTGGGATATAGCAGAGCCTTCTATAGATTGAGCGTTCAGAAGCATAAGCAAGCAAGCTCAATCCTTTAAGCCTGACCACGGGAAAAATTTCATCTATTAAATGATAAACCAGGTAGGTATTGGCATCTCCAAAATTCCTGTCTCTAGTGCAGTGAGAGCATGGGAAGAAGCCTGAACTGCATGGAACACAAGGAATGCTGTTCAAGTGTGATGTATCTTCATCTTGGCTTCATGAACAGACTGACACCAAGGCAGTACATAGCAGTTCACACCTGCACAGCCTTTCCTTCTGTTCCCATGTTCACCTGTTTGCTCAGCAGCTGCTGACTATGAGTTACAACTTCTCTCCTGTGGGCAGCTTCATGTCTGTGGCCTGGTAAGTATTTTACTGTCTACTTGAGCATGGCTTTTTGTCCTCTGCAGTGGTCCTCAGGCGTTCATGACGCAGGGCTGGGGCAGTACCTACCAGACGTGGCAGCAGCCTGGACAGCAAGTCCCAAGTAAGTGCCAGGACCTGGGCTGGAGAAGGGTTGGTGTTTCCTTTGCAGTTGCTGCTTCGTGCCTGTGAAAGGCAGGTCCACCCATGAGACCACGTGTGTGAAAGCAGCAAAATGATTTCCTGAGCAGAAGAGTTGTGTGGAGAAACGTGGTGGTGTTTGAGCTCAGGATGAGCTGAAGGCTGTGGAAAACTGCAGTGCTTTTTGTGTGCTAAACTGCTTACTGCCTCTCTCTGCTCTTTGGGTAGAAACTTGGTCCTTGCTGTCTGTTCCTAACAAAAACATTCCTGCCTCAGGCTCTGTTCTCCCAGGATTCTCCAGGCAAACACTTACCAACCCCACTTCCCCCTGACAGGCACCCAGTGTTGCTGCTGAGCCCTCCCATCTCTTTGTTTTTGAGCTTATCATTTGTTGCTTATTTTCTCTCTTAATTACTCCTTATGAGCTCTTCTCACTGTTCAACTCCCAGACTGATGGAAAGGAGATGGGGAAAGTGGAAGAAAGGTTAGGCAGGGCTCCTGTACTGGTCATTTTTTCCTAAAAACCTGCTTAGTCAAAATTAAGCAGTTTGGAAGGGAAGTATCCCTTTTCATAATAATTCAGTAAATGCTAGTGGTGATGTTGTAACTGCACCATCCTGTGTCCTCTACTGCCAGAGGAATGTATTGTTCTAAACAGAGCAGATTTATGTCTGCTGGCTAATCTCAAAACTCATGCGGTGGTGGAAATGTCCAACAGACACAATCATAATTTTTCAAGAAATATAGGGTTTTTTACTGGCCTGGTCTCATGAAACTAAAGCTAAGCACCAAACAGTGTGTGTGGGGGGGGTAATTTTAAAGGGGTTTGATGACAGATGTTTTTCACTGTCTTAAGGCTGATTTAGCAGTTAAGTAGATTATCGACTTCAGTGTAAATTCCTGCTCTTTGAGGTGCCTGAGGTAGAGGAATCGTTGGAGGGGCAATGCCTGCAGTTGCACTTGTGATTCCCTGTGGCACCAACCACCTTTGAATGTTTATGAAATCGTTAATGTATGAATTTTGAAATCTCAGTGCTGCATTGTTAACTTGGTGCACTTCTGAAACACGGGACACGGGAAGTGTCTTAAACTCTGGATGAGTAATTGCTCCTCAGCAATTACAGTCTAAAAAATCATGACTTTTCCTTTGAGCTCCAGGGACTTGGAGGTCAGTAGTTGTTCTCCTTTCTGACAGTAAAATGCAATGGTGGGCTTCTATGGACTTTTCTGCTGTACAGGAATGGAATAGTATGGTACTGAAGAAGAGTATTTTCTCCTTAGCTTGTTTTACAGGAAAAAAATGTTATTCCACTCGTTTCCTTTGCACCCCCAAAAGCTCTGGACTCCCCTGAGCTTTGGGAAGCAGAGCAGTCAGTGCAGCAGGGAAAGCTCTACAAAAAAGTCTTAATTTTTATCTTCCCATAAAGCCTTTGAATAAATGCTTACAGAATGTGCATTGCTCTTTGCTTTGCAGGATGCCTCTTAGAAACTCACCTTAGTCACTTAACTCCTTTCTCCTCTCCCTGAAACATCCCCTCATCCTGCCCACCTGCCACTGGGGAAAGAGAAACCTCCCTTCCTGCTACAATCATGTCTCAAGCTCACCCCTCCTGGCTTTGGAGCCTGGTATAGGAAGCACAGCCCCCTCGAGCCCCCTGATGACCCATAGTGCAGCTCATAGCCCAGCGATGGCAGCTTTGCACTGTCAGGTTTCTGGTGGCTCCCAAGACCCGTGGAGCATCCTGCCTTGCCACTGTCCTTCCCTGGGTGAGTTTAGCCCCACAATGTCATCTTTTGGGGGCAGATATTTTTTTTCTGCTATTGCACCTGATGGATGATGATGGCTCTCGAGTTCCATGTCTGCTTAGGATGCTCCCTGTTCCTGTTTGTAGCCAGGCACACTGAAGGCAGCCTGAGTAAGGAGAAGAGGGCACACACAGTAATGCTTTAAGCAGCCTTCACCACTTTCCTCTGCTGCAGATCACAGTGGTGCCCAGGCAGGCAAGGTGGAGCTCACCAAGGCGTGGGAGGATTCTTATAGAAATAATAGAAACTTTTAAATAGAAACTATGTAAATACCTGCTTTTGCACTTTTTAATTTGAAGCCAGTCCTGTGAAGGGTCCCTTCCCCGAGTGCTGCAGCCTGTGTGTCACAGCTCTGTTAGCCCTGTCACCGCGCCGGCGTCCTGGGGACAGCCTTGAGTGCCCTCCTTGTGGGAGGAGGGGCAGACCCCCACCCCCTACACATGTATTTAGATTTTAATTACTTCCCCCATCTTAAATAAATTAACTGGCTGGGGAAACATTTTGCTGTGAAATGCATTTAGCTGCGTGTCCTTTCAGCCTGCTGCGGACTGTAATTCTCCAAGAAGAAAAGGCATTGAAGGAGGTCCTTTGTTGGCATTAGCAGGTGGACAGTTGAGGCAGCCTTGACCTCTGCCAGAAAAGGTCCTGACTTGTAGCGTTGGTCAAGTCTTTTAACCCGCTTTTATGCCCCTGGACAGGACTCTGCTGCCCTGTTCCCTCCACCCACTTCACACTTGCAGTGTATTATTTCCCCCCTTCCCCCCACTTCAAAGCCCCCCCTCTGGCCGGGGCCAGCCTGCAGTGGGATGGGCTGGGAAGAGCTCTGCTCCACGCGTGTCCTCTGTCCCTGCCTGCTGTCTGGGTCCGTACTGGCTCTCCCTGTGCCTCCCTGCAGTTCCCAAATGCTGTGTTTGCTGTTCAGGGCTGTTTGTTCGCCGTGTGTCTCACCGAGGGCTCTGTGCTCACAATGGGACCGAGGGCAGTGTGGGTGTCCCGCCTCTGCCTCGCAGGGCTGGGCTCTCCCCTGCTCTCAGATGTGCTGGATTGAAGGTGTCTTGGTGCTTCAAAGGCGAGGAGTCTGTGCTAGGTGGAGCCCAGGGTTTGGAGTCTGTGAGCAGGCAGTGGCACTGCTTCCCTTGGAGCAGCGTGGGAGTCTGGAGACAGTGCTGTGAGCCAGCTGGGGCTGTTGTGGCTCCCTCTCCGGGTGGGGTGTGGGGTGTGTGCTGAGGGCAGGTGGTGCTGGCTGTGCCTTGTGCCGGGCTCTTGGCTCTCTGAGGAGGCAGGAGTGGTGTGGCTGCCCTGGAGCTGTGTGCTGGGGCAGGCTGTGTGCTGAAGGCTCTCGTGTGGGCACACTGGGGCTCCTTCAGCTGTGCTTCACTGAGGGGTGAAGGATGCAGCCCCTGAAAAACAAGTGAGGTGACTCAAAACACAGCCATTTCCTTGGCAGCTCCATGGAGGTGACAGGTTTCAGCTCTGTCAGGGGTCCCCCCTCCATCCCTGTCCTCTTTTCAAGTGGACTGACAGCCCAGGGTGGCTGGTGTGCAGCTGAGCAGCTCCCAGCCACGTGCTTTGGCTTGAGCAGGTCCCAGCAGGGTGAGACTTGGCTTCGTGCCCTTTAGCAGGGCACAGGTGAGGTGAAACCAGGAACTTGAGCTTTTCCTCGGCTTTCCCGAACTGAAGGTGCCCAACAGTATAGGAAAATGGAAGCTGAAGTGTCAAGTCTGGGCAACTGTGATAGATCCAGGACCTGTCTAGTGGAAAGGTAGATGTCACTGGCTGGAAACTGTCACCTCTTCCATACTGATGTGCCCCTTGTTGTCATCTTTGCACAGGCCAACAGAGCCAGCAGCAGAACAGCCATCCCGATTACAGCAAAGCATGGGAGGAGTATTTCAAAAAACAGAGTGAGTGAAACAGGCTTATTGGAGATGAATCAGCTCTTGTTACAAAGAGGACTCTTAATCCGATGACTTGCGTCTCCATCCCTGCCATTTTTGGCTTCCAGACCCCCTTTGGTCCTGTCCTGTTGGTGATGGTGCATGTAGTTCTCCCACGGAAAGCTCTCGGTCGCGCTGTGGTGCCTCGGGAGAACTGTTCCCACTGATCCACGGTCCCCAGCAGACCTCCTGCCCTGCTTGCAGCCAGCCTGCCTGGGGGAAGCATAGAGCACACAGGAAGCTGATGCTGGCAAAATCCAGGGAGCTGGAGCTGGGTTGTGAGAGGGTAGGAGAGCTCGTGGAAAAACATGGGCCTGGCTTGTTCCACTGCGTCACGGAGCGCATGATCCCGACTTCTGGACTTGCTTTGGACACTGTGCTGCTGGAGGCTTTGGGCCAGGGTGACGGGTGCAGGCTGTCAGCCTGTCCCTGCAGCTGCAGGAGCGCTCTCGGTGCTTTGTGCCTTGCTCTTGGCTTGTCCCTCCCGATCCAGCTCGGAGCCCGTCCCGCCGTCCCACGCAGCGGAGCCGGTGTCTCTCTCTCAGGTGTCTGCAGCAGTTGGAAGGGGCTGGCTCTTCTTTAAGCTTGACAAAAGGAGATCCTAACCCTGGGCTTGGACTTACAGAATTGCTCATCTCTCCCTTTTCCTATCTTTCTCTCCAGGTCACGCTGCCAGTGCTGCTCCTCAGGCAAGTTCCCAGCAGGACTACACGATGGCTTGGGCAGAGTATTACCGACAGCAGGCTGCCTACTACGGGCAGACACTAGGGCAGGCTCAGGCACACAGCCAGGTCTGTATTCACCCTCCCTCAACCCCACTGCTCTTTCCCTTGGGGGATTGGGTGTGTTGGCCTTGGCCTGGTGTGGGGACTCTCCTTTGGGTTCACATGGTGAAGCAGAGGTATTTTGTGGCTGAGGAAGTGATCCCGGAAGTGTTGTCTCAACGGCAGTCTTATTTCCCTGTACGGGGTGAGGATTTTTTTGGGAGAGGACTTAGAGGTTATTTTTTTCTCCTGGGAGACCCCCAGGCTGTTGTGTGACTTCGGGGAATTAAAGGAATGACTGAGCCAGGCTGGTGAGTAGCACAGCACTGGCACATCCCGGGACCGCGTGTGCAGGCTCTGCCTTTTGTGGTGCTGGGACAAGAGCTGTGCACCCACCAGCTCCCTGTGCTGAAAGGGAGACCAAAACTCTTGAAAAATAATTTGAATTAACCTGCTTTCAAGGAAAATCTCACCTCAGCTGTCACTCAGCCCACCGGAGGGTTGCGTGGGGTTTCTCCCACGGGCCTTTCCCGAGCACCAGGCTCGCAGAGCAAACAATAAAGCAAAAACTCTGTGCAAAGCACCTTAGCGTGATCAGACCCTTCTCCCCACTGATCCACGTTTAACTGTGGCTCCTGGGAGCAGGGGTTGGTGTGGATGCCGGCGGCAGCCCCGTCCCCAGGCAGCTGCACTGCCGAGGTCGAGCGGGGCGAGCCGGTGCCGCTGTCGGCGTTGCCGCCGGCGCTGGGCAAGTGTGACCTGGAAGCGGTGGGTGATAAAAGGGAGTTCCCTTCATTCCCCTCTTAAGTCTGGCCCACTAGAAAGAGGGATCTTGTTTGGTAAGAGGAATGCTGAGAAGGAGGGCTTTGGTAGGGGCTCAGAGCATCCTTTGAGGTCTGTGTCCCGCTCGGCTGGAGCGGGGACAGACCTGTGTCGGGGGAGGAGGGCTCGGCAGCTTTGGGAATTTGCTGCCACTGAGTAACTTTTCCTTTTCTCCCCTCTCTCTTTCCAGGAGCAGTAGAACAAGGTCCTCGTGGCAGTTTTTTTCTCTTGGAATCATTGTGGAAGAAAACCTTTTTGTAACAGAGGTTTCTAGATTTGCAACATTTTGATGAAGACTTTTCTGTTTGTGAAACACTAGCTGTAGGATAATCTATACTGAACTTTTCTAAGAATCAGGAACAATTAGTAATGTACTAAACTTATGGACATGCTGGTAATTTTGTTTCCAAATTTATATTAAAAAAAAAACAAAAAAACAAACCTCCGGGATTCTTTTTGGAGAGAAGCCAGAGAATTTGCAGGCACCAAAACGCACCCCAGAGCTGTGACATTTCAACATGTGGGTTTTTGTGTGTGTTTTTGTTTTTTTTTTTTCCTTTTAATTTTCGATCTTTTCTGTTGACACAGAAAGAGTGGCTTGGAAGTCTTAGGTGTGGTATGTAACAAATCTTAAAAAGAAAAAAAAAAATTTAAACAGTATTTAAATATTCTTAAATATGTAAATTCATTAAATGTTTTACTTCTAATTTCTTGTATCTTGGCTGTCTTTGATTTTATTGCATTTTTAAAAAACTGAACTATGATATGTATTGTAATTAATGATATGAATTCTGTATTGAGACAGTTACTGTTTGCAAGTTCTGGGCGGGGGGGCATTTTGTAGGGTTTGTATAATTTCTAGAGTCTAAAGGGGTAATATAAAAACGTGTTAATTTTTTTAGCAATACATTTTTTCATGTCTCCATTGCTAGTTGCATTTATGTATCTAAGACCTCCAAGCTTGTTTAAAAAAAAAAAAGAAAACAAAAAAAAAAAAGAAAAAAACTTTCCTCTATGCTCTCAGAAATATAAATACTGTTATTTTTAATATTAAAATGAATCTGCTATTAGTACCTTTAACAAACACTGTGGAACATAAAACCATATAAAAGGTAGTAACTATTTTTTAATTCCAAGGTGTTTTTTGCTTTTTCATTTCTTTTAAATATTTTCTTATCTAATATTTGTCAAATTACCTAGAGAAATAAATGAATCTAGTATTAACCACGGTATGCGCTAAATAATTTTGATTTAATAAAAGGGATAATATGATTTCCGATGTTTACTGTAGTGTTTCTTGTACAGATAACAGTGTATTTTTAAAGGAAAAACGGAATTGAAGCTATTTTTTCTTGCATTTTTAATTGCCCTGCGGGACATTCCGTTTTTAAATGTACTGAATTTACTGTTCTTGGGTTCTTTCCTTATTTTTTTTCCTTATGCTTGAAATGTCTAACTATAAAGAACCGCGATTGGATAATGTTGAGCATGGTGTTTAAAAAAAAAAAAAAAGTGTTCTTTTTATTTGACTGACAGTTGCATTTTACACTATATAATAAAATTTCCACAAGGTGTCTTGTGGGTGAAGTATTTCCCGTCTGTTGGACTCCGTTGTTCCCTCTCCGCGGTCCCGGCGCTCCGCAGGCTCCGGCTCCTTGCGCCGCATCCCGGGGAGTTTGGGGTGATCGGTGAGGTCAGCACCGGCCTTAATTCTGGTGAAACTCTATTAATGTCACTTCAGGTCTCTCTTGGCACTGTGACACCGAGGATTTCCATGGAATTTGCTGTAATTGTCGCTGTCTGGGCCAGAAGGATCCGTTTTAATACCGGGAAGTTTCCTACAGCCCTGTGAAGGTTTTACTGCTTGTCGAGGAGGTGGCAGCCCCTGGTTTTAATACTCTCAACTTGTTGCTCTTCTCCAGCTTTGTCTTTGTGGCTGAATCCATCCAGGACTTGCCATCCCTGCAAGTGGGGTCGCTGGAGCAGCACTGACTGGGAGAGGGATGGGGAGGGATATGGCTCCGGCCATTCTCACCTATTGCACATTAACTTTTAGTTGTGAGGCCAAGCTTGGCAACAACTGCAGCCCCTTCAGGGGATCCCTTTCTCGTAAAAATGTGAGTTTTGAGCTCCTTCAACCCAAAGCAACTCCCTCCACTGTTCCCAGGCAGCTGCAGGGGTTTACGGACGGGGGAAGGGAGGGAGGGAGGAAAGAAGATCCCATCTGCAAAGCCGGGAGCGGGAGGCATGTTGAGAGCCGGAAGAAAAGGAGATGTAGCATCTCTAAATATACCTCCAGAGAATCAAGAGAGACATTGAAAGATGGGATAGTAAAAGCCACTTGGAAAGAGGGGAGAGGGGGGAAAAAATGGCTAGAGGAGGGCATAAAGGCTGCTGATGGGAATTGGGAGCGGGCATTACCGAGAAGACTTCCTTCTAATTCATCTTCCAAGCTCTGTGCCAAAACAGCATTTGGCATGGTTCACAGGGAGCAATTGTGTGATAATGAACCCTAAGGTGTCCCTTAATTGAAGACTGAGGATTACAGATTGTGCCAATAGTCGTAAATGGTGCAGGATTGTGGGAGGATGCATTTTCTTAAATGTATCTGTAAGTACAGATGAGTGAGTCTCCCCAGTGAAATGTCCATACTATAAATTATGGAAATATCTCTTTCTGATGCAGCCTTTTATTGAGGGGGTGGGGCAGCACAAGAAATAGTTTGCAAGCCTTTGAAATTTGGCCTGTCATTAAGATGGTGCCTGCAAAGCTGGGTTTTCATCAGCAGTCTGGTGTCCTGAAGTGCTTGAAATGTTCCCAAGTTCACCAATTTGTTTTCCATTATTGCTGCCTGCTCGGGGCGGAGGCCACGGCTGTGGAGCTGTTGTGAGTCCACTATGGGATGGAGAGGGGCAGGGTGGGAGGCAAAGAGAGGCCTTGGCACCTCACGGTGGGCTGGTGGCCTCTGGGTTCCCCCAAACTCCAGCCCTGCTACCATCCTGGTCTCTGGCCATCCAGGGAGTCCTGGGGCTGGTGTGATGGTCAGTCCCACCCCAGGGCTGGACAGGCCCCCTCACCTTTCCCTCTGAGGTCTGTGGGCTGCCTCAGGTGTGTGGTGCAGCCCAGAGGCTGCTGTGCTGCCTTCAAGCCAAGTCTGTGATCTCCAGGAGAGGAACTGAGTCTCCTGTTCAGCTCTGGGCAAGTTTAACCCCCAGTAAAGCAGATTAAGCCCTGACTGCACTGGGTTTGGAGGCAGAGGTGGCTTGTCTGTCCCTTTGGCAGAAACTGGATGGTGCAAGGAGCAGGAGCAGTCCCCAAGGCGCCACATAGAAGCCAGCACAGGGGCCACATCTGGTATTTTGGGGTCCGTGAGTGGCAATGGGGACAGTGCAGCCTCTTCCTCCTCACAGGGGACCAGCACCCAGCACGAGGCCATGGCAGGACATTAATCCTGGGGGACAGCGAGGAGATCCTACGAGGAGACCTTCAGTTTGGGGACAGTGGAACTGGAGCCAAAGGCCATCCCAGGTGAGTGCCCCGGCGGGAGGTGCCCAGCCCCAGCTCACTGGCTTCTGCTCTTCCCTGCCTTTGACAAATAACACTCCTTCTCTCAGGGATGATCCCTTTCTGGAGGCCTTGGCTCAGGCATGTGATGGCTCCTCAGAATGAATCCCTCTTGGGTCTGTCCAGCAGCACATTTTCAGTGGGCTGGCAAGGGGATCTGCCCCAAGTGTCCCATGGCACCACCCAGGCTGGCAGCACCCGCAGGCAGAGGCCAAATCCTGAGCAGACATTTATTGTGGTCCTTCTGCAAACCCTTTCTGGGCAGCAACCTGAAAAACCCTGTCACTAAAGGATCTCACTGAGTCCGTGATGACCCTGATGCTCTCCTGTGCTCCATATTCAGTGTGCCTGAACAGGAAAGGCTCTTTTGGGAGTGGAAGGGAGACTTTCAGATTACTCTAAAATAGTTTCTTGAATTTTGCATGATTTGAGGACAAACTACATTATGGCCATTGTGAGTTAAACTGAAATGACTCTTGAAAGAGACAAGAAGACGTGGGACTTTCTTTTTTCCCCATCTTCAATTATTAAATATTTAATTGCATTAGAGGAACGGTGTATTTACAGTAACTGATGACGGGCAGCAGGGGCAGAGCAAGAGCTCGTGGTGTTTAATGTGGAGCTTTTTGATGTTCACGAGGTCCCTTCTGCACTTCTTCTTCTCCCCCAAACCTGCCTGGTTCATCCCACTCTCAAGAGGATTTTGGGGGCTGTTGGTGTTTGTAGGGCTGTGGCACAGGGCAGGAATTGGGATCTTGCAGTGATGTTTGTCAGTGTATCCTGTCAAGCAGCACATGGGTGTTTATTCCATGCAGGGAGCTGCTAAGCCTTGGCTGGTTTGGACATTTTTTTCCCTGTGAGTAGCACTGGTGCAGGGTGACCATTGCAGACACAGCGTTTCTCTGCTCTCGTAGGGCTGGGAGAGACACAAAAGGAATTTCCCACAATTTTTAATGATGGGAATGAGCAGAAACTGGAGTTATGTGATGTGAAGATGAGTTGAAAGAGCCACAGCTCCATGGTCTGTTGGTGAGAGGAGACAGTGGCCCCCAGGGCTGAGGGCAGAGGGCGAGTGGGCACCGAGCCCCATCCTTGTCTGGGTGGCACCTCGGTGGGAGCTGGGGATGGAGGGAGATGGCAGGGAGGGACTAACCACCCTGAAGGTGTTTGAGCAGTGGGTGCCCAGCTCTGCCCTGCCACCTCCCTCCAGGTCTGGGGCACCACGTTCAAGGCGGGTGACCCAAAAGAGCATCTCCAGGGTTGATGTGGGGGCAGGTACCAACAGCCCCCCCTTAATTATCTTCCCACCCTGCCCCTTATCACTTGAGGAAATCCTATTTCAAGGCCGCTGTAATGAAGCCTCTGATCTTTGCAGAGCCCGGCTCGCTCCCCTTTAATCCCGGCCGGGCTGGGGTGCAGGTGCCGCGGTCCCGGGGGATTAGACGGTCCCTTCCCTTTGTGCGAGCCGTCACTCAGCGCGGCCGTGCCCCGGTGAGCAGCACGGGCCCGCGGGGCTCCTTGTTTGGCCCATTCACCAGGGAATATTAAACTTCGCTGCCGTGCAGTCATTACACGGGGCGGCTGGAGCTGCTGCTCTGTTTGTTTTGGAGAGAATAGGGTCGGGAAACGGCAGGAGCCGCAGGAGGACTCATCTCTCCCCGCGGCCGGGGTCACCTGTCTGCCGGGCAGCCCCGCTCCTGTCACCCATCCCTGAGAATAATACCTGAAGGAAAGGAACGGGGCGGGGGGGGAAAGGCAAGAAAGCGAGCGAGAGCGGAGGGGAGCGCACTCGGCATCTCTGCTCGGCTCCGTGGCCTCCCGCAGAGTGAAATGGAGGCAAATAATGCCCTGGAGCTCCTTTCCCGAGCAGTGCAATCAGCCCGACTGGCTCGGAGGGGCTGCAGTGCCCGGTGCCGGAGCGCTCGCCGGGAGAGTCACGGCTTCATCGCACCAACCCCTCCCTGCCCGGAGCTGCTGGGCACCCTCTGGGCACCCACCGAGCACTGCTCGGGGGCATCCTGAACCCTCCCTGTTGTTCCAGGCCCCCTCGGAGGGCAGCAGGGACAGACAGGCAGGGTGCAGTTTGGAGGGGAACAAGGATCCGATCAGCTCCATCCATGGATGTGGCACCTTGGGGACGGGCCACTATCCTTTCCACCACGCACCTGCATGTGCCCTGTGTTGGGATGAGGGATGCTGGGGGCTGCCCTGAAGCAAGGGGGGCACCCACGGGGACTCCTCGGTGCCCCATCCCGGCCGTGGCCCCGCTGGCACATGATGAAGCCCCACAAGTGATGGGGCAGAGGTGCTGCTTGGGGTGAGTGAAGGCACAGGGGGGGGAAGTCTCACCCTATGGGGGGAACATGGGGGCCTGCGAGGGACCTTCCAGACCCCCCGGCCCAGGCTCACCCTGGACATTCCTTGTCCCCCCACAGCTCCTTCTGGGAGCGTTCCCGGGCGCAGGTAACATTTGGGCACATTCCCATAACCGAGTGCCGCCAACTGCTGCGGCGGCAGGGCCGGAGCCCCTCTCCAGTGCTGCTGTTTGCTTTGCAGCCTCCTCAGCCCCCATTGAGGCTTTTCAGCTCCAGCCCCTTCAGGGGGTTTAAGTAGGTAAAACCTGAGGAAGAGGCTATTTTCCTCCCTCCCTTTTGAGCCCTGCCTTGTGCCCAAAAGGCCCCCTTGTTTCACGCGTGCCAGTCACCTGGCTGGGCCCCCAGCCCCTTTCTCTCCCAGCCTTCCCTTTCTTTCTCCTTTCTCTCTTTTGACTTTTCCAGGAGCCCTCGCTCTCCAAACGAGCTTCAGATTGGATCCAGATTGAGGTCCCTTTGTCTTTCAAGGGTTGTACTAAGCTAATTAAATGTGATCCCAACAAATAAACGCAGATCTCCCCATTACATTCAGGCCTGCCTTTCAGGCAGCACCGGGCGGCCCCTCGCCCCCGCCCGCTGCGCACAGGGTCCCCCTCATTGAGTCCTGGCCATTGAAAGCACTGCCAGGATTTCTTTTGTGCCGGGGGTCTCCGAGC